GCAATACTATATATTAGAATCTTGTTTTAATTTATCGCGTTGACGGTAGTTTGTATACAATTCGCGATGTCCATAAAACAAATGGTGTTTAATACATGACATATTATTTAGTAGTAATGAATAACAAAGATCACTATTGTATTTTATGGATATTTCTATTCGACGCTAAAAATTGTTAATGGTGTTATAGGTGTGCATTTAATATATTGATATAGGCATATTACAGCTATCATAGCTAATACATTATACTATATCATACATAAGAACTACGGAGCCAAAGTTGAGACTGTTCCATTGACAGTTTGTAATAATATTACATAAAGCTTACGTGCATTTCTCAATTTCTTTCGACGGCACGCGACTACCGAGTACACAGCTAACCTTCCAACGTACATGAATGAGTCCAAAAAGTTAATTAATAAGTTCCATGTTATACGTTTTTAGTGGGACTTTGAACCACATCGAACTTGCATCAAACTTTAGATGTATACTTTATTATTTGGTAAAACGCATCGATATTCGATACAAGCTTTATCGTGATAATACCGATTATTTACCGACTGTACATAAATGTCGTCAATTGCAATGTCAAAAATTCCAAATAGATGCTTTTAAGTTTTAACCAAACGTTTTTTACAAAAAAATAATATTAATAACAGTACTTTGTGTAGCAATGATTTATGATTATTATATATTAATAATATAAATACATAATTATACTTATACCTGTTGTACAAACATAAAGGATGTATATAATAAAATATATCAATTAATAACACATAATGTTATGTTTGTCGCGGCTGATGACTCAAGGCTGAAACACGATCGATACCAACAAAATTAGCATATTTACACAGCTCTATTCTATACTTGAAAACACAAAAATACGTACCTATAACAGTCCTGAAAAGTTCATGATCTACGCCTGTCTTATACATATTATTATGAACGTGGATACAGGGTGATTCATCAACCATGACCACACATTCACACCGCTTTTATAATACATTTTATTCAAAATCTGATTTTTGGAACTTTAAAGACCATTATATTTGTAGATTGGGGGGGGGGACTTATACTGTTGTCTGTTATACCATTTGAGAAGTGATATGTGGTGATACACACTTTATTTTCAAATCACCAATTATTAATCATAATTATTTCCCCCATATTTTTAAACCACTATTATATCATGACTCGGCGCATGTGAGTATGCGACTGTAATTATCCTTATGCAATACGTAAGTTTGAACTTGTACCTATAAAATATAAATTATAAGCTAATTACAATATTGTCTAAAAATCATCTGATTAATGATTTACATTAAAAGCAGAAGTTTTCATTTGAAAAAAAGAAGTTTATCGCTCATCTAATGACATGAAAAATTAGTATTCTAAAATGTGGTATTCAGGTTCCTATGGAAATTAAAAACTAAAAATCAGAATTTGGATTTATGTATAAATAAAAGAAAAATAAAGGTTTGTAGGGTTAGGGTGGTTCATAAAGCGACTCTACATTATATGTTATATTACCATAGTGGTATTCAAGTGCCCGAAACCTGTAACGGATCACAGCACACTCGTTATTTTTTCAATTTAATGAATTATGAATTATTACACTGCAAGTTGAACAAAAATAAATAAAGGTTACTATTCAACTATACCTTTTAATGTTTATTATTTAATTAAATTAGATATATTTAAATGTATCTGTTTACAACATATAGTTATTAAAATATTTTTAACGATTATATTACCTACAATTGAACTATCTAGGTATATACAATATACATATTTCGACCACGGCTATAGTATAGTGATTCAAACTATTGTTTATTTATTTTATTTATTCATCAATCATTAGTCATTCATTACATGATTCATAGTATGTTTATTATTGATTATGCCTGTATACGTACTATGAGGAGGATCGTATATAGTTGTAATTTGAAATATTGATTTTAAACGCTTAGTTTTTTTTTACATCGAACACATTTCCTTAGCATTTTTTTGTAATTATTGGATGAAATTGGTAGACCAACCTTGGAGGCCATAGCCTCTAAAAACAAATGAAAAAATAATTAATTATAATATTTTCTTTATTAAATATAAAGTCTTAAATATCCATGGAAAAAGTGTTATACGCAGAATATTTTCTTTGTAAAACTGGTAAATATTTTAATAAAAAAATTCCTCATTTATTTCCATGAATTACTTAGTAAACGAAAATAATAATTATTTCAAAAACAAATTATCAAAATAACCTGGTTGAGAGTTGGGTGGAGTCAGGCAATATAGAGATAATCATTACAGGTATGTGTATATGAGCGTTCCAAGCGAAGGAGGCTGACAATCAGAAGTTTAAACTTCAAACACTTATCAAACGAAACTGAGCTAATGTCTTTTCGATATTTTTAAAATTACTGTTAGTATACTCCAAATCATTCTAAATCTAAATAAAACAAATCTAAATAAAAATCGAATTGTGCATGATTTTAATGGTTATATAGTATTATTATTTATTAGTATAATAGTAGAAAGGTTGAAATCTATAGTAAATATTTTTTTGGATTAAAACAATATAACATATTATTATTTTTCGTTTCAATATAAAATTTTGGCAAAATTCAATTTTCAAACTTCAAAAAAAAATTTTAAATATAATCTGCTTCATTTATGCTTAACTTTTATTAATTTAAATAAAAACTATTTATGAGGTTTCTTGTATTAAATATTATCAGACATTAGGGATTTAAAATATTGAAACATAATATGTTTTTAATACTTTTTATACATTTTAACTAAAAAAAACGGGCTATAGATGCTTGTTATCTTTATACCTAAACCTACTTAATTACTAAACTAAACGAACAAATTAAAAAATGTTGTAGTATTATTTTTTTACATGTGTTTTTGAGTAATCTGAGAACGGTTATTTTATTGTGTTAAGGTAGTTAAAGTTAAAGTAGTTAATTTATGACTTAAGTTTAAGTAGTTGCAGGTTGTTAGCTCCACTCTCTCCTCCACACACCCACATAATTGTACCCTATTTAGTATTTATACTTATAATCGTTATGTTATATGTCTACATTACAGTGTCAGATGAAAATGTTTGGTATTTTTCCGGGATTAGCCCACACGTTGAAAATTTAAACCTCGTGGAGTTATTTACCCTAAGCCATCCGGAAATGCTGGGATCGAACCACGATTATATTGTATGCTGCGAAATCTCCGGAAATTGGTAAAACGTATATGATCCATATATTATGTCCATCATAATATGACCATATACATGATATAATATATTTAATGCATATTATGCATTTAATTAATGTGATAAGTTATGGATTAATCGATATTTAAATAATAAATAGTATTCAAACCAGTACCAAGGTAAAATATATAATACAGTGATACTATATTCAGTGGATGGTGCATGATCGGTGATGACTGGGAGATAATCTTCAGTGCAAATAAATAACATTATTCGTATACGCGCATTTCAATGCGTGGGTTCTTCTGACAGAAGATTGCACTATTTTGGAGGTTACATAATATATATTCAATATGCAGGGCTCCAGTAACAGCAGGATAGGTAAATATTACTCGTACTTCAAATCATATATCTAAATACAAGACTTAAAATACAACTGTTACTGCGATTGCTTTGGGACAACGTATCGAAACAAATACAAGATACAATAAAGTTAAAAAATATACCTACATATACCTTATTATAATATATATATGTATATATAACTTAAACGTATATATACATAGGTTATAGGTACTATCAGCAACAGCAGCACCATTGTCCACGATATTCGTCGATATTATATCATTTTCTCAGCGGTACGTTATTCATAACAACTCCTATATATATAGTATAATCTATGTATATGTATTAGTATTGTATATGCGGCAGTGGCAGAATTCATCAATATCGCGTTAGCGATATAAGAGCAATTTCATGCCCGAAGGGATTTCGACCAAGTATGATGGGTACACCTTCACGGTACTTATATATAATATATATTAAAACGACGACATTACGCCAGTAATATTTCAAAGATATATATTCCACCAGTGTCTGTGTACCCATATAATATATACGGTTTAATAAACGGTGTACGTATATTAATAATCTTCCCTTTTTATTTTTACAGCATTTTCGGCATTTCTTCAAAACCGTGCAGCATTCGCGACCTGAGACCGCGGGAGGTTAAATTGATTTTCAATCGTGCCGGAAATATGCATTCCTCCCTCGCCCCACCACTCACACCTAAACTGTACACACACACACACACACACACACACACACACACACACATAATATAATATATATTTACTCCATCCGGCAAGTGCTTCATTCAGTCCTGCAGCAGGCATCCCTCCGGCAAATCTTATTATATTTTCATCTCATCTCGCTGCGGTGGTGTCGGCAGCGGTTGAGCAGAGGTGTGCGCGCCGTATAACAGCAGCGGCCACCACCGCACCCGTTGGACGGGGATGAGGGTAAGAAATAAAAAGTAATGCGATCTAGGTTATGGTCCCCCTTACGACCCCTCACTACTACCCACTACCCCCCGCTAGGAGCGTGCGCCGCTTGTCGATCGGCGGGAGCGACGTACAGGCGCCACAGATGCCTAGCGGTGGCGTCGCGTTGACCGTTGTTGGGTAGGCGTGGCCAGCGACTTCGGCGCGTCGGCGGCGGCTTATCGAACGCGCACGCGGCGCAACTGGTCGGGAGCCCTCACTGACGCCGCCGCCACTGACGCCGCGAAGTACGTCGTCTCGATGTCCCGGCACCACCGCGTAGTCGCACCACTGTAGTCATATGGCTACACGACGACCACCACGGTGGCCACCGGCTGCCGCGATAATCATCGCCGCCGTTGTCATCACGGCCGTACCCCATCTGGCCGCCGCCCAAAACGCCGTCAAAGACAAATCGGGTAAGGTCGATGGTATTAATGACATATTAATAAATAATCATGTAAATCATTATAAGATAATTTATTAGAAATAGTATATATATTACATATATATTGGTATACCTGTACAAATACAATAGCGATGCATATATTCTCTCTTACATACACATATGCAATGTATGGCGACAGAGAATTAAATAATTTAGTATAGGAGAGGGCAAAAAAAGATACCTAGGTATTGTAAGTATATTCATTTTTCGACCGATCGTCGTTTCTTCAACGGCATAATGCCGTCATCGCATCAGTGATGTATAAATTTCGTCGAGAACAACACTTCCCATCCGTAGGCCACGGTATTCGCTCCAGTGCACAGTCCGCTGATGGCCCGCAATACCCATAGCTCATTGTAGCCAAACACGTCTTTCAAGATGAAAAACGTCGATATCAGGTGCAGGACCACGGCCAGGCCCGATGAGTATAGAGCCTGGAAACGACAACGTCCGATGTAGCAACAACAATAAGTACATTATAAAATAATATTAAAAAAAATTGGGACGAAGTCCGAGCACGTGCGCACAGGGACCGTGAAAATTAAATTAAAAACATAATCTGGGCAGTTGGATTTTTTGTGCGTCTCGGATTATTTAATTTGGGACAGGGGAGGGATTAGACAGTTTTCCGAAAGCAAGGGCCCCAAACACTCCCTGATTTAATATTAAAAAATCGCTTATGGTCATATAACATTGCATAGAATTATTTGTGTATAAATACCACAAACACATGTTTTTTAAATATTTAAATTATATAAAACTATAAATTTTATAATTTTCATAACATCTAAGTATTTTTCTATTCTGACGTGTTGTTAACAATATATATAACGTACAATACGTATATTATACATAATATCAAACTCGATGTCTCCCAACAAATACGTCACCGGGTCAGCCGATTGGTATAGGCACGATGGGTTATACAAACACGTCCCGAGGCACAGGTCTTAATGATTCTGACTCGTTCAAGTGCACACTAACTGTATAGGCAGTGTACTCTACGTATAGTATTGTATACCCACATAATTTTATTAAATGTCGAACATACCGGCGCTGAGGCCTGCAGTGTGTTTTGCGAAACGTACAACAATCAGCCGGGTGATATTGATCGTCGGGCTAGCTGTAGTCAGTGTGTGTGTTTGGGTCGCGCGCGTGTTGTTATTATATTTCGCATCCAATTTTCTGTCGCGCCGGCGGGATATAATAATAATAATAATAATAATAATAATAACATACGAAATTATAACGGACCTGCTTCCTCTACACCGGTTGTTCGACACGCGAGTTTTTCCCTCGGCGGCGTGTGACAATGAATTTTTTACACCCAATATAGCTCAGCTCATTAATTTCCCATGCACACAGACTCGTATAATGTACGTGTGTGTGTGTGTGTATGTGTGTGTGTGTGTGTGTGTGCGTGTTTATAATAGAATATATATATACATATAGGGTCACATTAACCCTTCGTTATGTGTTCGACAGCCCCGTTTCCTGTGTGTGCGTGTGCGTCGGTGACGGCGGCAGGTATAACGTCGTCGAATTAGCCGGATTATTATATTATTATTATTATATTATAGCGGGTATACCTTCGGGCAATTTCGCGTTTGAAATTTTTATGACGTGTACGGTGTGCTAGTCTCGATTTTATATTTATAGAATTTCGACATGTAGAAAACTTGTACAGAAGTACATACAAACCTATAGTTTGAAAAACGCGTGCCGCATAAAATAAAATCCACTTTAATATTGTATTATTATTTCGTCGGAAAAGTTTATGTTATTATAATAATATAATATGAAATCGTCATCAGCAATCGACAATCGGTAAAGGAAATAAAACATTGCACTGCAATGTACATGTACAAATAATAACTGTATATTTGAAGAAATTAATCTTTACACCAACGACTCACAATGCAATTACTTAATATGAATAATATTATGTAAGTCGTGAGTGGTTGGTCGTAGGTACATATTAATTTAAAAGGAGCAATGAACTCGAGGGTTATTTATTCATTTTTATTCGAAAAATGATAACATAGATTTTTTTGTCAGAGGGGACAAAATTACGAAACAAATAATTATAATCTGATAAGATTTAACATTGAAAATAAATCGTAAGGTTAAAAATGGTCGTTTAATCGTATTAAATAATTACAGAATCGTGTATTTTTTATATAAAACATAAATAATAACACAATCTTACCATAAATTATTTTTAACGTTTAATAAAATAAAATTGTTTGCCCTCTGAGTTGTTGAAATTAACAAATAACAATGCTGGAATTTCAATTATTTCAAAAGCGGAAACGGAAATTTAATTATTAGCAAACTAGAAAACTATTTTGGACAATAGTTATTTATATTTTAGTTCAAGACGTAAAACAAAAAAATGTTAATCACTAAAGTATTAAATAATATTTAGTCGTATGTTTTTGACTATTATGACCCATAAATTATAATACGTCATGTCTTATCGTATTCTATGTATGGGGTGTGGTAGATGAACTTGTGTGACTTTACACATGTGCAGCTTTTAATCGTTTATGTGTCATATAAAATATTATAGCGGCCAGTCAACAATTTCCTCCAAAATTTTTAAACACCTACAATCGTCTAATATACAGGTACTAAACAAATATACTTTGTGATTGAAAAAAATTAAAATAAGTATTTGTTTCAAGGTTATTGTTAAATTATGTATAACCTACCCAACATAATTGAATCATCAATAAATACAATCGTTACTTATTTTTTTTGCTGTACTTATATTTTATGTTAAATGCATGATATTATTTACATTTGTTTCATTTCATTTTCATGAACTTTTCTTTTCTGCAAGTGTCACAATGTTAACTCGAGAAACTTTGAGATTAAGTAATGCCGATATATTACATTTCTCATCAATCAAATACATTTTTTTATGCAAGTAGAGAACTTTTATTGAAACAAAATATTAAATTAAATTTTAAAATGTTAAGCTATATTTTTCTCATATTATATAGTAATACTTCGTACCTGCTACCTATTATTTAGGCAACGACCCATCAATAAAAATATTTAGGTTACAACTTATTAGCTATGTATATGTACTTTGTACACGTATTATTTTTACAAGTTTAAACTTTAAGCTCCGTAGACGATGATAATCGTTTACGGTAAATGTAGTTTTAAAATATACCTAATTTATTATTGAAGGTCTACCTCAAAACGTAGCTGGTGTAATACCTATATATGTGAAAAAAATCGTTGAATTTTTTGACCCCGAGTTCATTAATAATTCCTAACACATGAGGTATACAGTTTAAATTTATGGCAAAAACCTTCGAGCTATTTGCTTACAGAGCATATACTTTATATAAACTTTATATATACTTTATATGAACCACGCACATCATAGGAAGCTTAAGAGAGGAAATACGGAATGGGGGGAGGTTAACGAGAGTTAAAGATTTCAACAGAGTTTCTCTAGGGGACCGTTTAAACTTTAAACCTGTAACGATAGGCATTTACCATGCGTGTGTATTATGTTAAAGGTTAAGTCTTCGAGGGCGATTTATATAAATATAAGCTTTGGCCTTTTAGATTATTCGAGTAATGTGTACACTTAATGTATATATGTTTACCAATTTGTCGGAGACTGGTTCTGCTATACATAAGCTCACCAGAGTGATTATACCAATTCCCAGGTAACTGTATAGCGTTAGGTACGCGAAATCTGAAGTGAACTGGTTATATGTAACATTTGTTTCAGCGAACACTGGTATAATACTTCCAAAAGAAAAAATCTAAAAAATAAAAATAAAAATGATATTATTATACATATTTTAGATATTTGGATACGGAAACATTTTTAAATTTTTTAGTAACTCTTTACTAGACTCTTCGATTAAAGATAATAATTATAAATGTGAATAATAATAGGAAACTGTGTAACTATTGCTGACGTATACAATTTGCCAGGGCCGTCTTGAATTACTAAAATTCATTTTAAAATACCTCGATTAATTGTATAATATAATATATCTATTATATAGGTTCATAATTCTAATTTATACTCATTGTCCCTCGCTCAAACACATAACGTCTATCTGACGATAAATCTATTAAGAAAGAGTTATATTGACTCTTTTCAAAATATTTCTTTTTCAGACATAAGACGTGAACAATTTCACACGTTATAGTAGGTAATTCATAAATTATTGATCATTCATATAATTTTAATAATTTTTTTCATGCGTCTAACTGGTATCAATATTTTTTTTTTGAGGTCTTTATGTTACGCCCTATCTACATTATGCAAGATCGGATTAAGATCTGAAAAGTCCCAAGGACCAGATGTATGGTTATTATATCCCCCCTCATAATAAATGTAAGCAAAAATACATTTATAGCGAGATGGTAAATGGTTTATGGTACTGATAATGGTATACATGTCTGCCACTTCAAATTTTGGTACTACTTTTTACCCGGTCCCTATACTCTATATTTCGAAATATCATGCTATATGTAATTGAATAAAACTTAACTGTGCAATAATATACAACTTTAAATGTGCATTATATAAATATTTACTATTAGTAATTACTAATTAGAGTAATAAATTACAACACTATAATTAAACACTATTTATTATTTTTAAATTTATCTTGATTTTTTTTTGACTTGGGAGCTTCCATTTAGTGTTTTATGTTTTTTTAAATAAGTTTTCCTATTTTGATCGATATTACAGATTCTGTGAATCTTGGTGTTGCTTGCATTTTTAACACGGACATAATATCGTAATGTATACATATTTTTCTTAGTCTGTCATGAAAGTTAAATTGTATGTTTTTGCAATATAATAAGTAAAAAAAGACCGATTTATACATCAGCGATAATATTTTAAACTAAAAAGACTATATGGGTGGCCTTTACATACGTAGTTCCCGCGGACATACCACCTTCTCCTCGGCTAACCTACGTACAGTGTTCAAGATATACATGTTAAAAAATAAAAATGATACATGTATACCCACACAACGGCACACACACACGCGCGTGCGCGCACACAATACGATAATATTGCCGTATTTTTGAATTAGATAAGCTAGACAATACTATCATCGACAATTAATACATTTTAAATGCCAAGGTATTATTTGATTTTAGATATTGAATGGAACTACATTATTTGAGTTATTCGCAAGAAACTTTTTACTTATATAGAGTCTATTCAATTATGGAACCAATTTATGTGTGTACAACAAAAACAGATTAAATAAATTATAATAGTATTGTACTATTGTATTAGTCTTATTGATAACTAGATTAATGAAGACAAGATTCAAATGACATTAGAAAAATATTTTTTCAATATAGAATCACAATATTACTCTTACAACGATGATAAGACAATAACTATGAACAGAATTGCTATAAACAGAGACCATAAATTCAGTCATGTTGTCTTATCTAAGTGTGTAAACTGTATGGTATCTATTTCATTACTTAGGTGTGGATAATCATCAATAAAATATTTAAATATCCCATGAATGTTTAACTGATAGTTGGAATTATTTAATTCTTGAATTCTAAATTATGAATTTATTCAATATTGTCTATTTATCACCTACACGTATATGTATGCGGGTAATACAATATTACGCTGTACAAATTATGAAATAAACTGTCGCGGGAATTAAACCGAATATTATATGAATATTACAAGATAATTTTAAAATCTTCATATTCCCATGTACTAAAATAGTGGGTATGCCTACTGAAATACTGAATATCTTTTTGTATTAATTTATATGCTCGTTAATGTGTATAGTATTATAGACTATAGTTGATACCTAGTATTTCAGTATTTGGTATATTACCTATAATATGTTGATAACCATTTATTAATAATTACGTACTTATACTTGTGTTTATTTAAATTTGTAAATATAAATCATAAAAACAAATTACTAATTATTTTTACCTATACGTGGAAATGACGAAACGTAACACACTAGTATAGAGTAGCCGCGCCAAAACTTTTGCATCAGGTGGGCCAAGCTGAGGTCAACATTTTTAGGGAGGAAACCCATTTTTACTTGACATTTATCACAACTCCCAAAATACACCTAACATTAAGCACTTAGCACACCATTAATTGCGATATAAATATAATAAAATATAACGAACATATTTTAAATTAACAATAAATATTATGTTTTGTACACTAATTCAAATATAGAGCAAACTCACCCAGGGAGCATTCCTTTTGTAATTAGTAAAATAACATAAATTTTATAGGTACAACGTTAACATATTTATCATCTTTATCATTAAGAATAGTTACAAAAACAACTTAAAATTACATATTTTTAAAATAATATCCACGGATAATTTATTTTAACAATATATTCTTCTATTTTTATAATATTCATTAAAATTATTTATAATATCGTCAGAATTTAACGATTTTCTTCGGACAATATAGCAATGTATAGCAAAGCAATTATGTTTAAGGCGGATGGATTATTGTAGAGCACAGAATTATATTTATTATTTATTTATTTCTCAAGTATGTTTTTATCCTCTTCATGCACGAAGCAGAAGAAACAACCAACAGGTATAGAAATTGCAATAATACTGGCATAACTTTATTTTCTGGTAAAAACGTTTCCACCGCTTGAATCCCGACACTTTTCAACCCGATTAAAACGATGTTTACATACATATACATTACAATATACACATTGTCTTATAATATTTTGATATTCGTCATGAGACAATTTTCAACGACCAATCATTATGATTTATTTTACAACTATAAAAATTGAATGAATCCAAACTTATTTAAACTATAGGGTTGGCCCGGGAAATTGGAGTAGTATGATATTAAGAATCAAATATTATCATACAATATTTAAAAATTGAAAAACTAAAGAAATCAAAGAAAATTATGTATTATTCATAATAGTATTAGTACAATGGTCGTACAAAAAAATCTGGTTGAAATATTATTTTAATCAAATCATATATTTATACATTTTTTTGAATGCAATACTCACTACTTGTGCCAGTTTAAGACGAAATATTATAGATTGAAGTAACGAAGTCATGATTTAATTTAAATTGTTTTAATATAAATGTACTAACAATTGATATTACAATTTAAAGTCTACAATATTATTCTTCACTATAATAGCAGTATAGTTAACGACTAATGAGTGGTATAAGACTAGCACTCTGCCGATGCTCACACATTACTTATCTGTCATTTATGGGCGAGGTTGGAAACTATATAGTTATTAGTTAGGTTACCACAATGGCATAATGTATTATAACGGTTATAATAAACATGATAAATTTAAATGTATATCACCGCTCAAATTATAAAAAATGAATGACTCATACCAAATCACTCAAATTATTTATAATTTTGAGAAAACGATAGTAATACATGTTTATTATCAACTTCAAACTTATAGTTATCGTTCGAATTATCAGAGTTTTTATCATCAATCAACTGTACAATTAAATCAAATCACGCACGCGCGCTGTAAAATGTATACAGCTCCTAAATTGTTTTAATCAATAAATTAATTAAAGTAAATCGTGTAGGTAGTCATATGCCGGGATATACATTGAGTTGACAGAGTTGAACAAGACTAGGTATGATATCACAATTGTAATCCATCACATAAATCACCAGATATTAGACACGGTGAGTGACAGGAGTGATTTATGTATGAATTGATTTAGGTAAATGCAGATGGTGATGGTGGGTGCGGTAAACATGACAACTAATGCTAAATAATTTCGCATCTGCAATGTTGGCGTTTGATATTATATATTACATTATACCTTTACATCCAATATACATTTTCGTTGATTCGGAGGTAACGTTACCTACACATAAGTGGGTAATATTATCATTGTTACGTAATACAAACTACACGGACGTTGATAAACTAAGTAAATATCACATATATCTATCTACTGAATGATTCGTACGCCTGCAGGTATTTCTATGAGTCGATTTTAAGCTTCGCGTTTAGCTGATGAATTAATTCAATACATACCGTTTATTGTTTTTAATTCATTATTGAAAACAAGTTATGATTATTGAAATATTTTAATAACATTTCTAATTATTTACATACACACTTATTTACATTTTACGCACACATTTCAAAAAAAAAATCACAACACAGCAGTAAATTAGAGGTGCGTCCTTTAAGACTGGCACATGTATTTCTAATAGGTTCGTGTATTCTACATTTCTACCATAGTATGTATTATGTATACACTAAGTTAGGTATATGTAACAAAATATGATGTACATAATAATATGATTTTAATAAATGTTACAAATATAATAGGTACTATAAATCCTTAAATGCAAACATTTGACAATTAATTTTAATGGTTCGCCGATATTCAATTGGTTATTTATTAGTTATTCCATTGTGATTTTATCTCAATAGTTTATTGTTTTTTGTTAAATAATATTAAATAAATTATACACCAACTATAATAGAAAACATTTTGTATAGAAATAAATGTTACAATATAATATTATTTATCGTCTCATAAATGTATTGTTTTACCATAAAATACAAAATGAAACAATTGGGCTTTAACCAGTTGTACGAATTTTATTTACTTATTCAATCCTTCATTATACTTTAACAAAAACCAATTAGTACATAATAGTTTATAATTCATTTTCACAATCAGTGCATTGAGAAAATGTTTTGGTTTGGAAAATGAAAAAAGACAATACCCGGTAAACAAAGCTACTATCAAATAATACACTGGTCGACGTGTTCATCGACACTTTGTGCAGTAATTTGTTGTACCCTCGGCGTTAATCGTATCCGCCTATGGATTTTTCACTAAAACCACGTTTGTTCGAACGGAAATTAATGTATTTCATCGTTTTACAGAATTACAGCGAGCTATTGACTGGCTTACTTTACAGAGGGGCAAAGACTGGGGATGGGGAACCGGGACGGACACCGCTCAGGCCATCGTGGCTATGGAGATGACGAAGACTGGAGGACGTCTGGAACGAGAGCTGAGCGCCAAACAACTCGAAATAGAGCTTTTGGCCAGGCTATGGCAACACCACGACCCAGATTCCGTTACCCTCCAACAACAAGACGACGAAGACGAAGCGTTAACTGTAGCCAACATAGCGACGTACTCAATGGCCTTGGCTAGTGCTTGTCATGATCCAAGACAATTCCACGGACACGATTTGATTGGTAAAAGCTATAAAAAAAAAATGTCAATATTTAAACAAAAATTGTAATCGATTCCAATAATGGTATCGTCGAATTCAAATGTCGTGTTAATTCAACGGTTTAATTTACAGGTTCGTTGCTACAACACGAAACTATATCCGATTTGGATTTCTCGTACAGCTCCCTGGTGGCGTGTGAATCGGGTACGCACGTCAGAAAAAGACACATTAGAAGGCTAATGGAGATAGCCAACACTAAGCACACAGTGGGTCAGTTACAATACAATAGATTAGAAAAACAATAACTATAATGCCTTTTGTTCAAAGGTCTAATTATCGTATACTATAAGTCCATAGAATAATAATAGAAGTGTGCATTTAACAATATTTAGCAAAAACAATACAACATATAGGTACATAGAATTTGGTATTTAATCAATAATTGTTACACCTAAATGAATCACCTTTAGGTTATAGTAATTAGTGTAACACAATCATAGACGATTAGTAAGAATAAACAAGTACAAGTATAATAATAGTACAACACAAGTCACAACCAACAAGCATACATAAATTAATTAATTTTTACAAAAATAAGGTATAAATCAAAATACAAAAAGATTAAAAATGACGATTGTTTAAAATAAATGTTTCAATCCCAATGCAGTAATGTCTAATAGGTTATTATTCATATCATAAGAATTTTATATTTATGTTAGTTCTTATTTAATAATTATACTTCACACTGTAGGTATATTAATTTCATCACTGTAAAATGTAAATTAATTACCGTTATTGTAACTCAATCCGGTATAGTAATAAACTAATATCTATCTATAACATGCGTTTTTGCTAAACATTTTGTGAAATGAACACTTCATAATTGATATTATATTAATATTATTATTATGAATTTTAATAGACCGGCTATAATATGTTTACTAAACAAACGAATAAAGTATTTTATCTTTATTTTCAGATTCGTTGAGTGTGGCCATATTAGCGCTCCAGTGCGTGGAACACGATCATCGCAACCGGAACGTAAAACCTTTACTTAAGAAACCATTAGCGACATTGATAGCGCTTCAACAGCCGGACGGAGGATTTGGTAGTCTTCACACGACTGCCCTTGCAATCCGAGTGGGTACCATAAATCATAATTCATAATCCATACATTTCACCATTCTAGAGGTAGATACTCCATTGTGTGTGTGTGTGTGTGGAGGAGAGTGCTAAAATGAATAAATAAAAAATGTATCTTTCACAAAATATGTTCCTAGGAGTTGATATCTGGAGAACTGCACATTTATTATATTAGTCACCATCGAGTTGCCTAACCTTTGGGTATCATCATATTATTATGCATATGTAAATAAAAATAATACATATTGGTTTAAAGCTTAGGAATTGGTTATATGGGTAAAGTAATTAACACACATAAAATAAAAGATATAGGTAAAATGTTTATTGGCCATAATTCAACACCACCTATGTTTCAATCGTAAGATACGACGGTTATCCATTATTATAAGTAAAACCTAAATTGTTTGATTTAAATCCCAAAAGCATCACGTGTTATCAATATAGTAAATTATTTTTCCTAAAGTATTATGATAGGTGTTTAATAAAATCTTTTTTCTTTTAAAATATTACTTGAATAACAAATTATAAATTACCAAAATAATTGTGTGAATTTTTAACCCAGGTTTTTTTCAATAATGTAAATTTACCAAATCAATGCAATAAAATAAAATAAGTGGTCATATCCACCCTTTGCACTCTTTATAATTTTTTACACCTCTTCCCAGCTGGATCCTTCATCCACCTGCATCGCAGAGTTCTGGCACTGTTCGGCTGAATCGACTTGTTTATACCATTCATATAATATTACGTTTCTTCTTCAATTATTACGATTCGTTATCCGTTCTGCGTCTGTTATACAGGCGTTACAAGAAGGCAAAGCCACGTGGAACCGGACAAACGCTGTCGACTGGCTGTTAAACCATCAAGGACCCGATGGAGCTTTTTTCGACATCGCAACGACGGCCGAAGTGATAATCGCTTTGGCGCGTGTGTCCGGAGTCGCCGAGGGAATAGCCGACCACTGCGAAGTCCGCCCCGGAGCTGGTGAGTGTTCGGGAAGAAACATGCGTGTGCTAGTTGGTTGTAGGGCTGTTACGAGCTGACATCGCAATTCGTGATGATGCCACTCTGTTGGGGTACGAATACGCCAAATTTATAATAAAATACGGATGTAGATAAGGACAACGTGGGTACTGCGGTGATCATACCACACCCGTCGGCCGTCGACACCAAACGTCCGGTGTCCGTCAACGTGAGCGAACCCGTTGCCACCGACGAATACCGTCTGCCACAGGTGTCGGAAAGCGGCACCAATGTGACAGTCAGCTATTCACTGTGGATCGGCAGCAACATCACGGAAAAACGATCTATCAACATCACGGCCGACCATAACGTCACGTTTTACGAGATCATGCAAAGAGCGTCTGATTTAGATAGCGCTTTCACGTACGTTATGTCGTTATGCACAATATTAATTATCGATATGTATGCGATGTCAAATATCTATGTTGTACACAGATATTGTACTGAATAAGCAAGAAAAAAAAGAAACACCTAAATGTAAAGTTCTAATTCAAAATCACGCATCTGAGTTTATTAAATTTATATTTTAGTTAAATAATTATTGACTTTTTATCGATCAAATTACTAAAATCGAAAGACTTATTAAATATGAAACAGTAGATAACGATCACTATATTTGCCTTACTTTATATAGATCCCAAAAAATGTTTTCTTCGTATTAGGTAGGTACTCATGTATTGAAAGATAGTTAAGCTACATTGTATTGTTCATATATAGCTTCAAAACTTTGTAAGGGTTTGTGTGTACACAATCTCATTACCTATCTAACAATTAAGCCACCACCGTTAACCGACCTTCTTCTTAAATTAAAAACCCACTGATTATTATTTCTTATGGTAAATTGTATTAACTTTTAAGAAATAATTGGTTTTTATATAGGTTTTCAGCTACGGAATGGCCAAATGGTCATTATGTGCACACCCTATCGGGGCTTAAAGAAGAGCCTATGAGCTATCATTTTTGGCTATTGTACAAACTGAGATCGTGTCCCGACCCGCAAAATCCTCCAAGCAATCAACTAGTAGCTCCAACCGGTGTTGACGATCTAATCGTACAAAATGGTGAACACTACTTATTTTGGTACAAGAAGCTCTAAATTGTAAAGGTTTGTTTGATCTTTAAATATTTATACAGACTGTGGTTTTTGATCAAATAATTAATTATAAATTAATCATTTTTTTTTCAGGATTACAAATGGGATTTTGGATGTTTATATACAACGTTTAAAATATTATGGTCGACAATAATTAACAGAAATAATAATTTTTAAAAAAAATATATCTTTTTTTCTAGGGATTAAGTGATATTCATTTTAGACTTGTTGAAAACTATGTGTCAAAAGTTATTTTTCTCTGTACCTACGCTTATAAAAACAAAAATTAACAAAAAATTACTTTTTTTGCAAAACTTCTTTTAATATTGTAATTGTTTACCTACTCACCATGTTTATACGCTTCTATATACGATTTTTAGATTGATAATTAATTGCATTTCGCCAAATGTGGCTTACGTACATTACCTATATTATACCTATACATAATATACACTGTACTTACCATATACAATATATTGCCTTAGTCACTTAAAATTCATGCAAACATATTGTACAAGCATATTATAATGCATAATTTATTGTGTTAATAACCAAAAACTTTGAAAGGCTGTGGAAAACATTATCTTTCAAGATCCTCTCATACTTATTATAAATAATTTTTCAATATATAAGATACAAATAATATTTATAGTTATACTCAATACACAATCAATTGCTTTTATTTATTTTTAATGAAAATATTTCATCCGTCTTCCTATATAATGGTTCAATTTTCTTTATTAGAATTATGTTTATAGCCATATAGGTTGCCCATCACTGGACCACACAACATGAGTACATGACTTCCCTGCAAGACAATACCAAGACTTGAACGTCGTTCGTCAACTATGTTTTTTGGGTTTAGTTTTTATCAAGCGAAAAGTATATGGGTAACCAATACATGTTAAAAGGTGCACCAATTGGATTTTTTTTAAAGTGTAAATTTTTACAAAAAGAATCTTTTTTCTCACTAGTAAATATGAAACTGCGCCACAAAAAAATATCATGCATTACCTTTGTACAAACTGCAGTAAGATATTTATATTAGAATCGATATCGTTGCATAAGTTGCATTTATTAATTATATTTTAAGAGGGCTGAGCCCTTTTATATATGTACAGAAATATCCACTTTGCATTTAAATTTAGGTATAACATATCCGTGAAAAATGACAACAATAATTCAGAGCTATGTATCAGAGATATGAAGTTATTCTTACATAAATAGTTATAGGCTATAGCAATATCATTTACATGGCGCTGCAAAATTATTAAATCTTTCGAGGCACAGCATTCTTTTTTAGACACTTTCCTCATAAGCAGGCGCGGATACAAGGGGGGCGGGGCGAGGGGCTATGTCCCCCCGTAGACTCCGGTGAAATTTCTATTATATCTATTTTCGGCAGCCGATAAAATGTATTGTTTCGCCGATAGCCGTCAAAAAGCTAATCTAAAGTAAACTGGGATTAAAATAATAATATTTACCTATTAGCTTACATAGTATGTACAATGTTTTTATCAAACTTAGGCTGAAATTGTATTTAAGATCCCCCCCCCCCGTAAATATATATTCTGTTAATATATATCCTGCACATAAGTGAAGTCACCACTGGGCACTGACCAGACTAAACAAAAAGTAAAATATAAATATGTACAGTGTACACATATAATAGTAATAGTATTAATAGTAGACATTTTACCCAATCACCTTACATTTGCAACCAGCGACTCAAAAATTACCTTTACACCACCAATACGATATCACGATTTCAAATAATAAACGATATCGTAATATAAAATACCAACCAAATTGAACCAATATCGTAATAATTTACACATAGTTAATAAGTGCATATTTGTACTTTTTTAAGCACATAAGTGCATACATATTTAGTGTTTATTAAGTTCATTATAAGTTCAGAGCCCTACAGTAATGTCTCAAAAATATACTTAATAATATATGCTGATAGTCTTCACTTAGAACAATATGTCTTATAGGTACCTATACAACGGTCTTATATGATTGAATTCAAGTTAAACACATTCATTACAGTGGCCCCTCTGCAAGACATCTACTCTACAGCAGAGCGGTATATCCACTTACCTACCCTTTTTTACCAACACTCGTAGTTCAATGTATTCGATTGGTTCAGCCCAAGACCTACACTCCATAGATAGGTACTTTGAATGGTTTGCAGGGGAGGGTGAGCTGAAAACTTTCGGTTGGAATAAAATTTATCTAAGTAAAATAATAATGATTGTTGAAGTTCACTGTACTTAAGGGTATCAGCGTGAGTATATACTGTATAGCAAGGATGGGCAACTCAAACTTACTAGAGGGCCACTTTTTTAGAAAATTAAAATCTAGCGGGCCAGCGCATAGAAAGCAAAAAAAGGGGTCATTTAAAATATACATTTTAATCGGTGTTAAATAAATTATAGAGTATAGACTATAAACTTTGAAATTGTATGATGAAATTTTAAAATGGAGCTCGGGCCAGATAAAAAAGGCTAGCGGGCCGCCAGCTGCCCACCCCTGCTGTATAACGCTATTTATAATAATTGTTATTATAACCTATTCTTTGTACTTTGTGAGAAGAGTGGTGAATCAGTTAAAAGGATCGCGTCCTTTAAGTATTGAGCACGATCGACAATAAAACATGTGTCTACGTCACTTTTCCTTGGCAAAATTAAATATTTTAAATCATCCACCACATAACTTAGTATAATATATCCGGTGAAAATTGTGACGTAAAATATAACGCGGTGACTGGTGAACGGAGTCTCCGTCGTGGGAACGTCACAGCGCACGGTCGGCGGTCGCTCTGAACTGGAAGTATGAATTGGTAAACGAAATTAACCCAAACGGAACGAAATATACGAGTGTGGAGTGCACCTGATACTATTTTAATACCCTTTTAACTATTTGAGTATGGTTTCAAGACTTCATGTTAAAATTATTGAAACCGTAAATCATCTACGAATTTACGATGATTGCATTTGCCATATTATATTACATTAGATTTTATCATGTGATAAATCATAAGTTGTTATAGACAATCATAAATCACACTAGGTATATGAAATGTTATCAATTTTACGTTTTAAAGTCAAATTTAATAAGACAGTGAGAGTCAACATTTAAAAAAGTTGGATGATTGATCACAAGCAATCTTTGTTAAGACTTTAAATATGATTTAAGATTTTATCTCTAGTTTCATTGGTACGATGAACAAAATATAGGTTGTATAAAGAGATTGGTATCGTCCTCCTAACAATTACCAGTTATTAATATAAGATCTACACTATACTATAGACGGTACACAAAGGCGTAGAATGTGGGGGGGGCTAAGGAAGCTATAGCCTCCTCCGAATTCGAAAGAAGTTCTGGCAACGTCGTTGATACTACAAGGAAAAAAGGCTATAGTCCCGCTACGGCCGCCAAGAAATTTTCTAATTATGGCCCTAGGTAAAAAAAGGTTGGTCAGCACTGCTGTAGACAATTAGGAATAAAAACGGCATTTGTTAATTACAAACCTCACAAATATTAATCGTACTTAAGTCATTAATTATAATACTATAGGGATCAAATAATATCAATTCATATAAAAAAAATAATGGAAATAACAATTATCTTAGTCTAATAAATATATTAAAAATGCATTTTGGAATTTTGGATAAAATTACCTCAATTAAAATTTTATATTTTACAGGAACAAAATTTGTATAGCTAATTACTTTAGTATTTCAGATTATTTGTCGGTACATAGAAATATAAAATCCTTAAAAACTAAAAAAAAAATATGGATTAGCAAATACCCAATACACACTAGAGATTATTATAATTTTCACTAATCAGTCATCATATTATTATGTGGAATATTATACTAATAATTTCACAAAGTGTCATATTATTTTGAAAAGGATTAAATAAATATTCAAGTATTTACGAACAGTTAAATAATACTATATTGATAATAATAATACATACTGTTATATTTAAAATAATCATATATGTTATATATATTTATATATAACTATGTATTCGTTTTTCTTAATATACTTTACACAACGACAACGATAATAATATACACCTAATCCTAAATTTAATTTTGGTTTAAAAAAATAAGGAGATTAGAAATAAAACACAATTTACATTAAGAATCAAAAAGGTGAGATTATACATTTATATACGTACTATATTACACAATTACATTATCTAAAAAAATTGTATAATAACGAAAAAATCACAGAAGAGTAGAAGCAAAAAAAAAAATCATAATTATATATTTTGAGTTTCTTGATAATAGTGTATATTATGCTATAATATTTATATAAACATTATGATTTAAGACAACCAATATAATTAATATCCATACAACAATAAGATCAAGTTTATATTTCATATAGTTTAAGAATAATGAGCACAAACCAAAACACGACTCTGAGATTTTGTAGGTTGATTTCTTTTATCCCAAAAATATAATTCAAAACATAATTTAAATGTACGAATGAATATTACTATTTACACAAAACATACATCATAAAGACAAATGGAGAACAGTAATCATATACCGTGCAATAACATTTTTTTTTTAAATGTATACATATATATTTTTATAAAAATATTTTTATTTTTTATTAACTCTTTTTTTTGTTATTAAAGGAAGACCGAACAAATCTAAATAACCTATAATAGTAAAGATTACAAATTTTCATCATGAATTGCAACAATACAAAATAAAGGATAGTTCGGTTATCCATTATCATGGTAGAGTAAATTGGTTGCGTTAATTTTTATAAATTGAACACAGTTTATTAAAATACCAACAAATGAAGCAGGTTCATACTCGCGTCATATCTGTGATATATTAATAAACCTAATATAAAGTATAATTACTTTTTTTGTCTTTAGACCTATGTATGATATAGTTAATAAGAAACAAAAATAATTATAATTAAAAAAAATTTGGAGGGGATATCTGAAAATATACAAGTCAAAAAAAAATCTATAGAACATTAACCCACCAATGGTCACAATTCATCATTGGGTAAATGGTGAGACCACTCACTACACATTTGTTTTGAAAGTTGCATTTTAAGCATACTTATTTATTTTACTAAATAGTAAATACACAATATTTGCATTGTTGTAGAACACATTCATAATATAGTACAGGCAGCTGAACAGCAACTACTGCTTGCACCTTTACTTTTTTGTCTTTGATCTAGAAAAAATAATAACATTAAATTATAAGGAATATTTAGTTTAACTTTATTAGTATATAAATTAATTAAATCTATAGAATTAAATTGAGCATTTATGGAATTATGAAAGGAAAAGAGAATTCGATTTTTTTAACCAAAACTAGTTCAAAAATAGGACCATTGCATCCTTTTAAAAATATTTAAATTTAATACCGCAACAATTAAGTTTTACTAATAATATTGAAGATAGTTCTAATTTTAGAAACTAAATATTTAATTTCTAAAAACTAAGCATGAACTAGTTATTATTAATATACTATACTGATTATTATGGAAATTATAAGTGTGCACATGAGGTAGTCATGGTATAGGCACTTGACTACTCTGCAAACTCTCCTCCCCTTCAATATTCAAAACTTTCATAATAATTTTTTTATTCATAAAATACTCTTTCACTATGGTAAATGCAGGGCCGGATTAAGGTTTTTTCCGCCCATAGGCTGAAATAAATTTACCGCCTAATTTACATAGGTATTGATATTTTACTAATATCTCAACGTAGTTTTTGGGTCACACCAAAAAAAAATTTTGCCGCCCTGGGCTTTAGCCTACACAGCCTAAGCGGTAATACGGCCCTGGGTAAATGTCCTTATGGTTACCCTATCCAAATTAGTCTCTATAACTTAGATGTGAATAAGAATATATATACATACGTATTATGTATGACATTTTGACACATTGTGTGTAATAACTAATAAGTTAAACATGATAACCCTCCAAAAATGTCTGAGCATGCTTATGGAAACTTTTTATAAGTAACTAATAATAATATCAATACTATTGAAAAACAATGGAACCAAGTTAAACGATTTTATGACTACATAGGTGGTAAATATTTTTATACTATTTAATAAATATTTTAACGTCGTGGATGTAGAAAACATATTTTTCTGATGTTAAGTTATAAATAACATTATTAGGGGACCTAAGTTAACATTTAATTAAGTATACATTTTTTAAAGAAAAAGAAAAAGATTGAATTAGAATGTTAATTTTAAAAAAAAAATGTGCATAAACGTGCAAAATTTAACAATTGTCGATTATTTATTATGTGTGTAAACAAAATACACAAATATTAGGTATACTTTTTTTCAGTAGATTGTAAATTATTGATTTAATTTTAAACAAAACATAAAATAAGAAATTAAAAAGTCAAGAAAATTAATTAGTTTTTAAACTTTTACCAATGACGGTCAAAACAAGGACAATTAAATATCAATCACAGGGATAATCAAGGATCTAAAGGATTTTGAAGTTGCCCACTAGTTTTCTCAAATTTAGACTGTGTATTAGAAGAGTAGGTCGGTTTCATCGGGAGACCACAAAAAGTGACCAGAAATCGTTTGTTCATCATGCCTCACCTTGTGAATTAGGTTCGGGTAGTGTTTCCCTTGGTACAAGATGCATAACAGTGGTACGGGCTGGCACAAGTCCTAGAGCACCCAATGTGACGTTGCTGTGTAAAAAACGACCCTGATATATCAGTCTGAGGATCTCGGCTTTTTCGACTGCTTCGTCCGCCCAATCTGTAATCATTACAAAACATAATGAAATATTTAAATACTTTGACATAATATTATAATAGAGTAATAGACAATATAATTTAGTATGATATTTCTAATCAAAGGTAGAATGAATTCCGTCGACTAATATATGAGTAATAGACATGGCAATGCCACACTAATTTAATATTTTTTTAGATAACTAAATAATTAAGGGTAGTAAATACATACTGACTAAGTTGAGCAACAATAATTAAACACAATAAATACAATGAAATAATATATAAGTAGAAGTATTTGTGCTTTCATAAAAACAATATTAATCTTCGCCACGATTTGACTTTCTTCTTCCACAAAAAATCTCAAAATTCATGAAAGTAAGAATAATAATTCCAACAAATAGATGTTTTACTTTTTCATTGCTAAATAACTACGGTACAACCGCAGTACATCAGCGAGCCATAATCCCACATTCCTGGACAGTGGACAGACATTATTTATGTCCGTCAATCGCTGAATTCAGTGCCGAAACAATGAGATATTAGGATCTCAAATGTGGCTATTACGAGAGTTATACTATCACTTATTAATTTTCAATGTACAACATACCAGAATCCACTAATTAAAAACTAACGAAAATAGTCACAATTTTTTTTAAAAAAGCTTAAATTTTGAACTTTGACAAAAATTAGAAAAATCCCGAAAATATACAAATCATTATGAAGTTAAAATTTCATAAAATTATTAATATTCACATGTAAGATTTGAAAATTTAAAACAGATTCCTCGTAACTCGTAAGTTGTTATAACCGGAAAACAAAATAATGTGGTCAAAATCGGGTGTTTAAAGGTAAATAACAGTTTTCTTCTAATTTAAGAACGAATAATCTGAAATTTGCATAATATTTTGACTCTCTTTGAGCTATAAACACAGGGATTTGAAATTTTGAAATTTTTTCCTATTAGTGTTTACAAAAAACTATTGTTCGGTCCAGTGGTGCCGAAGTCCATGCTAACGTCGGGCCAGACGACCACATTTTATTTACATCATAACTTTATTATGAGCATGAGTATATTAAATCCATGTCACTGTAATTACGAGTAAATATATATATTAGGGCAGGTACTTCTATATTAAATAATTAATATATTGAGGCCACGAAGTTTCGAAATTGCCCCACCACATTTTCAAAACTTCGGCGCCACTGGTTCGGTCTGTCGAAAACCTTCAAAATGTAATTCATACCGGGACAAAAAAATCTTAACAATACACAAACGACATTTTTTTATAGAAACTTGAAGTTACGATTTTGACAAAATTAAATGTTTAAACGACGAATATTTTAGTTATTTTGTTGTATTTCAAAAATATAATTTGGGAGAATTTGAAACATTTACGTATTAATACGTGAGCTATGTCGTTTTCATTATCGATAGCAGGTACGACGATTAAATTGAATATTGTATTATTGTATTTTTAATAATAAATTTGTCAAAATTGATTTAACAATAAATAATAATAATAATAATAATAATAAAACAATATACACACAGCCAGAATGTCAGATAGTATTTTAACACTTGTAGATACGCATCGATAAATATAGGTATAACGTCTATCTTTTGCCTCTATTCGGGTCCACAATATCTTTATACTTTATTACGACTCTAGTTTTACATAATACGTACCACGTTTTATTTACATTATTTAAAAAATAAAAATAAAAATTGTCAAGGTTTATGAATGTACGTGTACCATTAAATTTACCGCGGAACCGATGTATTTGTGTGCAATTCAAAACGTCACCAACGTCAGTCTTATGATGATTAATAGTATGTAATCCATGTTCCAATTATAGCAGTCAATTAATAAATTAACTTAATTGTTAAGACATCGTAAATTAATTTTATTACATAGAAATTGTTTTGGTCATTAGCATTGAGTGAATATAATATAATATAATAATTAATATTATATAATATTTTACAATGATGTGTTATTTTATTTGTATGTATCTGAAGAAACTTTTAATAGTGAAAAAAATACATAGATTTTCAACTTAGAGGGTGGTTTTTGGCAAAAATGACAAGTCTGTACAGGGGGTCGAAGGTAAAAAATTCCCAGAGATTTTTAAAATAATCGGAAATTAAAAAAAAAAATGTATAGTATATTTAATGTTATATTGTTTTATTTAAATTTAATATTATTATTAAAATAATTGTTTGATTACCAAAAGGTTAAATTCGATCACTCGAACTCATTTATTATCGAGTACAATATTTTAACATTGAATTCGAATGTAATACATTCATATAGTGACCTACTCAATGGTATATAGTACTATATACTCTAGGTACCTACTGTACGGCAGAGTGGTTACCTACTTGACGGCTTTTTTAATATCAAAATTGTATACGTAGGTACACTGTACCAAACTAATTCTCAATCGGGGATTGTATGAAATAACTAGTTATTCAGTACAAATTCTAGATAAAGTATTAATTTAATTTTAGTGTAAATAGTTAAACTAAAGCAGTATTCGATAAATTATAAAATAACGGATTTCATACTTTAACGGTAATTATATTATGTATGTAACGACTAACGGTAGCATACTATATGGTAGGTACTAGGTAGGTACCACTAATGATTGGGCACTTGGTTGTCCCCAATCAAATATTTATGTTAAAATAGTCATAATAAACGAAAACCAATATCATATTATACCTATCCTAATTTTTCTTCGGCTAGATTTTAGTTTTTAGGTTTCCTAGTATCTTAAATTTAAAAATAAAATAAATATTTGAGGGGAGTGACTGCTGGAAAAGTCGTACTTACATTTAAATTCTGAGCGGAGAATGTATTTTACAATAATGTATTTTTTTGTGTGACATCATCACCTTTTGGGACAGTAATATTGATTACATTTTTTACTTCAGCATCTTTAAGTGAATCTAGTTTGTACTTCAAGGGATTAAAAGTAAAAATTCTCAATAGTTTTCAAAAGTGTAAAGAAAAAATATTTTCAATTTTTAAGTTTTCAAAAATCCAAATTCAGTGCTTCAAAAAACGTTTTGAAAAATTTTTAAAAAAATTAGAGTGGACCAAACTAAATTTATACATACATTTAGTATGTATAGATACTAGGTAGTTCTTTAATTTAATGATATGTTTTGGATTGTAACACTATTTTTTATATACACAATCACGTTGTAAATGCAAAACAAAGTGAGAGAAAGTCTTAAAAAACTCAGTCGCCAGTCGACCGGCCCATTTACATGGTCTATAATACGGCAATCAGGAAGATAAATTTGAAAGAGGAAGCTTTCACTTCAATGCTAAATGACAAGATATACCTAATTTCACAAAAATTGAATTATTTAAATTATTTTACTAAGAATGTATCAGTATAATGTTTAACTAAAGATAGGCATTAATACATTTTCTATTAAAAATTATAATTTATAATATAAATATGTGTTAAGTCTGGTAAGTTAATAACGAATAAAGGATACTATGATTTTACGATGAAACCTTGTCTGATAAAACTAAAGAGAAACATGAACAGGACAGAATATTTTATAATGGAAGACATAATAATCAGGCAAAAAAATCGCACTTTTCAGTGCGAAATGAAAATGAAATTCGATTTGAATCCATATTATGTTAATTTCGGTGTAAATGAAAACGATACATATTGTTTTTATATAGGTACTATTAAAATATCAACTAGTTAAAATACAATACAATAATTACATAAAAATAATTGTATGTATAATAAAATACAAAAAATGTATTAAAATAATAACCGAAAACATAATACTTTTTTTGATTTCAATAATACAAGAAAACAGTGATAATAGTTAAAATATTATTTTATGAGTTTATTAAACCCGTCATTCTAATATGATTCTACTTTATAAGACATACATTTTTTTCACTTGAATAATGTTTAATTGAATGAATTTTAAACTGAACAAAACTTTTTCATCCTCGGGATTGTAATGTCTTCAGATCAAACGATAAGCTTCAGTCTTAATAATTCTACACTAATGAAAACTTCATCGTACACCACATTATAGTATTAAGTATTAAATATCCTACAAGTGTTTACAATAGCATTATCTGTTTTTACATATTGACTAGGTACTGACTTGTTTATAATAAAATCCCATCTTACTGCCCCACCCAGTTACACATTACACTTGTGATTTTGTACTGAAACAAATATACGATTCAGACTAATATAATACTGTTCGACTTTACACAAGAACGAACAACGTCAAACAAAAATTATAATTTATAACTCATAATATGTAAAATTTGGGAAATAAAAAAGTAATAGACATTAAATTCAAATATACCTAAAAAATATAATTGGCTCCTAATTATCATTTATTATTATGTAAATATAGAACATTTATTGGTTGATATTTGTAATAATAATGAAAATGTATTTTTATGACGTAAATACGGCGTGTTGTTTTTAGTAAATAATCGTTTACTCTTACGTCATTAACTCACAAGCAATAACAATGTGTTCTTTTTATTTGTTTCCAATAGGTAGCTACACACACCATTATTACTATAAATTAAAATATTACTCAAAACTTTAATAAGTTATAACCTTGTAGGCTGTAGACACGTTTGTTATTAATTTTGTTTCAATGATTAATAGCTTATTTCTTATTATTATTAACTAACTTATAGTTTTATTTCTCGTTAATCTAAGTCCCCCACACGTTTAGTTAAGTAAGCTGTATTCTAATTTGTAAATTGTAGTTTCCTAAATTTTAATTAAAAGAATAATTAGTACAAGCTTTTTGAGTTATACTTTATTTTTAAATAATCTGCAGTAATAGAATTAACTCGTCATTTTTGCATTAAACAAGAATTTATGCTAAATTATCATTTGGGCAAAACAATTTTTTTAAGTAAATGAAGAAAAATAAATGGAAACATTTGATTTGTTACACATGCACATGCTGTTGATAATTTGTAAGCTAAAAGGAAAGGTTTAAAAAGTCTTCAACTTTGCTTTGGATTGAAATATAATTAGTAACTTAAGTGCCCTAATGATTGGTTTAAAATATCTTCATGAAAATCTTACTAAATTTATTGATGTGATGCAATGTTGTAGGTAGTTAATTTTTAAAATTAATAATTTTGCTTATGAACTTTTACGGTAAATACTAAATATAATACTACTAATTTATAAAAAAATCTTACCTTCTGGCCAATTATCAAAAATTGCTTGAGCTATATCACCCGCCGAGTCGTTAGGGCTAAATATGAATTCTTTAGTTTTACCGCTGACAAGAATCAATCTGAGGTTTATCTGTAACATAAATATAAATTTTAAAAATATCTGCATGTTTCTTTTACCAACAATTTTCTTAATAAATTTAGTGTATTTATTTTAAATATAAAAAAAACCTTAGTCTTTAACAAATCTTCAGGGTTTAGACCATTTACTACTGACACTAGAACAACTAAATCATGATCTGCAGACAATTTATCGCTCTTTGGCGTATAACTGAAAACCATTTTTAATTTAAAAATGTCAACCTCAATGTTAACAGAGTCAATATAGGTAAGACACAAAATCAGAAATAAAGATTGTAGTAGACTGTCAGAAAAAAATAAAATAAACAATTGAAGACTGGGAAGTAAAATTCACATCCTACTCCTATTCAATTTATGCCTTTGTTTATAAACAAGGACGATAATATGTACGGACATCACACAACTATTGATATATGTACGTGCGTTGGGTTAAGAATACCATTTTTAATAGTATCATCATATTATTATACAACGAAATAAATAAAAAAGATAACTATATTTTTAGACGAAAATATATCATACAGCACGAAGGCACCTAAAACTAAATTTAATTGACGATGCAAGACCTAATTTTTAAGGGAATAACGAAATATTATTATATATTATTTTCATTGATTACTGAAACTATACTCTAAAAAGTATAAACTAGAATAAAAATTATCTAATAGTAAATACGCACCTATAATACATACTTATACTCTAAACCATTTACTATTTAATCATTGGTATTTATTACAATTATCATTTTGTGTTAAGCACAATTTATTTTGTAGATAGACTATAATTCATAATAATACCCGATAGTATTATATTATTACGAAATGCAATTAACTATGGTGGTTTAAAAATTGAATAAAATAGATAGGATATACATATTTGTCTATTCATTTAATTTAAGAAAATATTTTAACTGTTAGAGTCATTCCTATATTTTTTTTTTTTTACGTAAGACTTCATGTTTTCAAATCTTTATCTCACCGTGCTTTCGGCCTTTACGACCATCCCGCCCGTCCGTTATACATTTGTCTCCACCTTGACAAATATCAAAACATAATTTAGACTACATATAGTAATTATTATTTATACCTTTACTCTAAGATAAAATACACTGTCTTCCAAACTAGGAGTAGTAATTTCTCAAAAATAACCTTGGAAGTAAGTACATATTATTTAAAATATTCAGTTGAATTTTCATAAAATAAATACATGTTATAAATTATTTTTGATAGTATTGAAACATTCGTTTGTAGTTTATTCACAGAAATAGGACGCGGCTGTTGCAAAAAGGGTGGTCCTGCTAGTCGGAAATGGGTCACCGGGGCTCAGTTCCAAGGCGAAACGAAGGGAGAAAGAGAACGAAACCCACCGGGTGAAGGGCGCAATCGATATTCTGACGGTTTTGTGGTAGACTAAAAGACGAGAGGGAGGGAAAAACTGCTGATATCAAACAGTCGACTAAACACCTTGCAGACAACAAAAGGTTTTTTTCAATTATTCTTAAAATAGGAAAGAAAATACCTAACACATTTTAAAAATAAGCCTCCGTGACTGAGTATTCCTGTTACTATTAAATATCATTACAATTATACTTAAAATTAATATAAACGTTTTGTAGATAATTTATAAAAATATTATAGGATTTTGTAGATCAATATCAAGTAGAATAGATACCTATAAATCACCTATGGAAAGATGTATGAGAAAAATATTGTACTCAATTGAAATAAAATGAACCATTCATTTAACTTTGAATTTACATATATATGAAAAGAAAAATTAAATTAAATTAAATTAATACAATTACAAATGTACCTAACTAATCAATTTTTTTTTTATACCAGATATTTAAAATTATTATCTAATCATTTTTTATATTATTACATTTTTACGTTCTATTATATTAGAATGATTGACTTCTTGTAAGAGAGATATAAACGTTATTATCAAGAAAACATTTCAGTAAAAATAATATACGTATTTTTAATATCTTCGAATAAAAAATTGATTGGTATTACATTGATCTGTTGGACATTGATCTATCGTTTAAGTGTGACAAAGTAGGCCACAGTAAAATTGTTAAGAAAAATAATACATATTGAAGAGTCTATAATACCAATGCTACGGATACAAAAACACAAAGACAAGTATTAAGTAAAATCTAATACAAACGGTTAACCAAAGAATAAATAAAATATTTTTTATCTATAAATATAAAATAAATTAACTGACATAACCTCGTTCAAAACAATTTTCATAAATATCGTAGACATTGAATAGGCTTCTTAAAAAATTAAATCACTCTAGGTACTACTTACACCTAATAGATAGCCTTGTAAAATTTGTACCTATTCCATTTATCTTTTTTTGCAAAACGGCATAGAAAGGTAGTCTAAAATACGTATTTATCGTAGAGAATATCGTATAAAGAAAACAAAATTACTATAAATTACCTATAATATTTAAAACGAATTTATTCATTTTAAATTAGATTTTTCTATATTCTCTGCTCTTTATGTATAAAAATATTAAGTATTAGGTATTATTTACAAAAAAATATATATACACATAAGTACTGGCTTAATCATTTTTTTCGTTTTTCAAGTATTAAAATCAAGAATTTATTGTTGGCGAATATCTAAGTAATATTTGTTTTAACTAACATTTTGGATGAAAATGAATATGGTACTTCATAATGATCCAAAATGATCTAATTATTTCTAACATGAATTTCTTATCATTTAATATATTATATTAAAGAGGTGTTCGCGTTCTATAAAAAATCGTCAATATATATTAAAAATATTATCCACAACCTGCTATACAATAAACATTGTTAATAGGTACTACGTTTTTTATTTATATTTGTTTATTTTTAAGTATATTACATATATACAATTAAACTTACGGACTGTTAAAATAAACTAAAACATAACAAGTATTTTACATAACAATAATACATTTCAATGGCATCTGGGTCATTAAATAAATATTAATAGATACAATTGTTAAGACATCCTGGAGAACAGTATGGTACAATACATTTTAGAATAATTATAGTTATGAATACATCATTGCTTAGAAAATTCATGAACCGAATGTATCAGAATTCAGGAGATATTAAATTTATAAATGAAACATTCAAATATTGATATTAAGTTGTGAATCATCAATACCGAGGTCACGTAAAAGAAAACTTTATAAATTAATAAGGACTTTTAAAAATCATTATTTAGAAAACCAAATTTAAAATGAAATATTTTCCGTGGAAATACTTAAGATGTTATAAAACATAATTATTTACAATTTTACTACATGTTTAAGCTTTCTTCAATACAAATAACTTTTTTTGTCATAATTTTAACTCCATTTACCTATATTTTTTTTTATTTTTTTTTTATTTGGGTAACATATTATATAATATTATGCTACGGCATCATCAATGTACACGGTTGTCATGTCGACATTTTTTAATTTTTCTTTGGAAAACCTTGCTCTCAGTGTCGGTCAGACGATTTTGCCATAAGGGGTCAGAGGGCTGACTTTAAACATTTTAGACACGTAAATTAATCCGCAGGAAATAGTGCAATGTACAATTATCAAATAAGTTAGGTTTTTACTTCGAATAGCAATCAAAAACAAAAACAAATTGTTAAAAATGGGAAAATTTCAATAAAATATAACAATAATTTGTAATATAACTGCGCTAATTTTCAATACGATTGTTCAGTAGGTTGTTTGATCGCGTCGCTAGTGCCTATCAGTATTATTTGTTTAACCAATGAACGAAGGACGTATTTATATGTCATATACTTAAACAACGAAATTTATTCTACTATAGAAGATCGATCAAATGTTTCATTCAGACTTTGTAGGTAGAGATATTTAAATTAAAGAACTTTGTTTTATTTGATAACAGTTTAAGTTTTAGCACTAAAAAATAATCCATCGACCACTAAAATGCAAATTAAATTAATAAGATATTTTTTTAAAGTTAAAATCATAGTTTTAAAAGCCCTACATTTTTTTACAGCTTATACCCCGAATATAAATATCTCGATAAATATATTATGGCAATACACAAAAAAAACTATCAAGTGATCTATTTATTTGATAGTATAATCATTATGATATAATGGGTTGATAATATTATTAACTTATTTAATAAATTACAAATATGTATGAACTTAAAACATCAATATAGTTCCAAGAAATAATATTTTGAACAAGGTAAATGTTGTACTTATAAATTTAATATCATAAAATACTCATGAGGCTAAACAAAACAGAAGCCTATGTTTTTCTATTTCCATATTGATAAACGTTACTAAATATGATACAATTAGTTGGGTTCCTTAAAGTAAGCTACCCCTTGTAATTATTCAAATAATTATAGTAACTTAGTTATACTTGTAAATTATTTTCCAAAAAATCAACGTTTTGCAACATGTACATTTTGTCAAATTAAAATCTAAACAATCACATAGTTTTGTAAGTAATTACTAACTTACATTATCTCCAATTTAAATGTAAATAAAAAATATTGACAAATGAGTAGGTACACCAAGTACAATAACTATACTGAAAAAGTTTAAGTTTAAAAATATATTTATTGTTTATACCAAAAAGTAATATGTGTTGTAACTATGTACCAGTTATTACAGTTATCAATATATTTATAAATGTAATTATGACGACTCCATCTTTAAGTATCAACTTACCCAATTAGTAATTACATTTTTAGATAACACTAACAGATAATAATTTTTCACACCCAACAATAAATATATATATTATATTATACACATATTAGTAGGTATATTATGCAAACATACATACATAATATTATTGTGTTTTTTTTTTAAACAAAAACATTTAAAAAAAACATCAATAAGTAATTATAATATTTGTGTATTTTGAAAATCCAATACAACAATATACAACTAACCTGCTGGTATCAAATATAAAATAATAGCCGTTGTCTCATACCCAAAATATATTTATATGTTCCACTCATAATGACATACTACAAGTAATATACTGAAAACTTATAAGTAAGACAGGTTATAGAGGTAACAATTTATGAGTAAAGAAATTTAAATTCTTAAGAATTGGGATTAACTTATAAGAATTTAAAATAAAATTATTTTAACACTTATCATTATTTACATTGTAAATTGTGTAAGTCATGGCCATAACCGATTTTAAACCAATTTTTTACAGCAATTAATTACGTTTACAAGTACTTTAGAGAATAAAGGTAAGTACCTACTAGTATAGAACTTTAGTAGTAGATTAGAATTATTACAATCTACAAAATTGTCATTATTTTTAATTATTTTATTAAATGTTCAAATTTTAACTGCGAAATATTAGTTTCACAGTGATTTATTAGTGTTAATTTTTAGACTTAATTTATTCCCAACAGCTGGTACCCAATATTAACGATTTTGGTTGACATTATAACACAATGTAAGATCAAATAGGTACCTAAGTAATTATCTAATAAACAACATAATATACCTTTGTTTAATAATATACTAGGATACTAACAAAAATGTTAAACTATTAAAATAATTTCAAAAATTTTTTAATTAGAAAAATAATTAACATTTTTGAACATAGATCCCAGTTAAGAAATAAATAAATTGAACATTGATCATAAATTCATAACTCATAAATCATAAAATCTTTCAGGAAGAAAAATAACTGGTCTGTATAGCCTATCCAGATTTTCTCTGAGATTTTCCACGATAAATTGAATTAAGTACCTAACTATTTTATTGTTTCATAAGTCAATAAAACAAAACAAAATCCAACCAAAACCATTATGCGAGACAATTTTCATAAGAACATATACTAAACGATACATATAGAATTTTTAAAATTATTTATCAGTTAGCTAGGTATACTTTAACCTCGACTTTAACAGTTTAATTTACATCAAGTAGCAAAAATACAATTTTTATACAAGATACTCTAAAGTTCATAATATATTACAAAAATACTTTATTGTCATTGTAGTAAAATAGGAATTATTATAAAATGTTACAAAATCAAAAAAAAATGTTTTAAAACAAAAATATCACAATTTAAGACACTATGTACCTAACTATGGAAATAATTTTTAAAATACACCTACTTAAGTAAAATCTTAGATTTATTATAGTCCATCCCGAGGTCTTAACTAACATGTCTACATAGACAACAATTAGGGACCTACATAATAATTATATTACATACAATTAAAGCCAAAATTAATTAGATACCTAATAAATAATTTAATGATAAATTGACAGACAGTATCGAGGACAGTAAGACACCTCATTAAACAACACAACTGTTATAACTGTAAAGTGTCATCATCTATCAATGAAAAATATTACATGTGGCAGCTTTATGATGCTATATACATTGATGTGTCTTTACCGTTGACACAATCAAAATAAGTAATTATTAAGTACATTAAAACATGACCTAAAATAATAATAATAAAACAATGTCTACTTATAATTGGGTATTTCAAACGATTGAATATAATTACTGAGACTCATAAAATAGGCAATTTATGAGTGTTTTCTTTATATTATCTATATGTTTACTGATATATTATATTAAGAAACTCCAAAAAAAGTTAGGTATAAGTCTTGAATTACATCTTTTGTTTTAATGAACTTGGAAAGAGCTTCGTTCAATATTTATAATCATTTTTAAACATATATTATTCATTGGGCATCTATTATACTGTTTAACACAAAATTACTTAGAACATTGGTAATGCACCAATTTAATGTACTTTTTTTCATCTTTAAAGTTACCAAAAATGAATTACCATACCTATTTAATTTAAAATTTGAATAGGTAGTTACATAGAATATTAGTTATTTTCAATTTGTTTAAATAACTGTAAATGTAGGAAAATTAATTGATATAGATGAGTAATTAACTTATATAGGTAGTTTTAATTTACTTTTGATACTAAAAAATAATTTCTACACCTACATAACAAAAAAGAAAAAACTGGTAGACTTTCTCTTTAAATTAGTTTACGCAATCCACTAACAATTTAATATCCTAGATTTATTCTAATTAATAAAACTACTTTAATATTATACTAAGCAAACAACGTTGTTACACAGTAAATTACAACATTTAAAGGGTAGATACCTAACTCTATGACATATACAAATGAATAAAAGCAATTTCATACGTGTATATTATTATATGTTCTGTGACACATACTTTCTAATAGACAGACAATGTTTTTAACCTATTTATGATGTTAAAAACGATTAGAAAATAAATAAATAGACAAACCAACTTAAAATCTTAATTTTTACAGAAATGTATCAAAATTAAACTTGGTACATACCTTGTCAGACGGAATGGACCTGATGGATGTAGTCATGTTTGTTTTGACGAGCGACGTTAGTGCGCTACAAGGTAACTACGGGTGATGTCCGCTGTCGGATCGTTGCTAAATAATCCGTCGAAGTCATGGAACAGGGACAATTCTTTGTCACGGTCACGCCAACGACAGCACCACCGACAAACGTTACGTCTTATCTACTTGGTAGCAGCAGCACTCGAGGCTTTCGAAATCGGAAAAGCACTATAGAATAACGAAGGCTGAACCCCGTTAGCACTGTTTATTTTTTGCGGGTAGGTAAAATACAACAACCTTATGATGTATCGTAATTATTATTAGCTTCGTTAATACATCGCACTGACACTGCACGGTGGCGGCGACGGTTACCTACCTACCGAACTACCTACGACGATACCGTTAACGGCGGAGGTTTGACGACGACAGCGGCGGCGACAAAGACGAAATCGGACGGCCGCACTACGCCATATTGACGCGATTGCGATGAAAGAGTCACAAATAATTGTTATACGTACGGAACAACGTCGGCGGTGGACCGAATGTCTCACAAAATACAAATCTCAGAGGATATTACAATAAATTAACAACAATAATAATAATATGATATTACGTTACTATTGCTATTATTATTATTATTATTATTATTTATTATTGTTTGACGAGAATCCGCTTTCGGGACGACACCACCACCAGCCAGCCGAACGCGAGGAGCCAGCGCAGCGCTAATAAGTTATTCACATCAGTCAGTGGCGTACAAAAGAGAAAATAAAATAAAATTTAAAAAAAAAACAATAATAATAATAGTAATAATAATAAAATGTATCTGTAACTATAATAATATATTGTGTGTGTATTACGTGCGTCTTGCGCGCGCGTGTGTGTGCGCACTAATGCGTAATGCGTATGTGGTGTGTGTGTGTGTGTGTGTGTGCGGGCGTGTGTGTGTGTGTGTGCGTATGCGTGTGTACGTGACGTGCGCGCGCGCTTGATTAGAAGATGCAGCTATAGAGAGTGGCGGATCCTTTGTGATGACTGGGAAAACGGTGGGGGCGTGTCAGGTGGTTTCCTATATTGTAACCTCACCGCCGGCCCGGCCCTAGGTAGTGCCGTTGCTGTGGTGCTCGGTGCGCTGCAATGCTGGTGCCGGCCGCCCCGTGTGCTGCCGCTGTGCACGTCGTACAACTCGCTCTCTTGAACGGTATTACAGTCGTGGTTCAGTACTCACAGTCTCGAGACCACCGTCGATCGGCCGCGGGCCGTTCGCAAGGTGCAACGTGCACGCCGCGCCGCCGTCGGACTAGGGGAATCTTGGCAACACTGTGAAGCGCGCGCGCCCGTCACTGGCAGGTCGGCAACGGGACCACCGACTTGCCTCCGCGGTGATCGTGCACTCGCGCCCCACACGCGCGCGCGCTAGTTCTGGCGTCTTACGGCAATATTATTATAGTATACCGAAACATTCGTATAATATAATATTTTATCATAAAATATTCACACATACACATTATTATTATTATTATTATTATTATTTACACGATCGTGACGTATATTATCATATTAATTATTATTATTTTTAAATAATAAAATAATTAATGGAATATTATCGGAATATTCGTGCGATTATATACATCCGGCTTGACTAAGTGTTGCCCTCCTAACATTTCATTATTTTTATAACGGATTTTAGATTGTGAACGGAGAGCTGATGAATGTATTAGTATTTGGTATTACATGCATGTGTTTTATTTTTTATTTGTTCGTATCTGTCATCACTCATCACCTACGTACCTATTCAAATTTGAAGGTGGTTAACTGGTTTCGGGTTGGATATTAGTACTGTTTGGGAGGGTTGGAGATTGAAGATGAAAAGTTCTAATTCTAAATACTCAACAAAAAAATTTAAAACGGAAATTTTTTCACAAAACCAGTTTTTGGCCAAATCGACTTATATTAATTTTATTTTATAATACAACAAGGGTTTTTGCCCAATTTACAATAAAACATTTAGTGCAATAAATAGATTATAAGGAAAAATTATTTAGTGAGAAGGAAGGGTCTAGTCTAGACTAGCTAAATAGTAAATACATACAGCTGCGTGATGGTTAATTTTTACCATAGTTAGATGAGGTGAAGGCGAGTGAAAAGGAACAAGATGGTGAGATTTTCGGACTGGAACATTAAAAGACGATTGAGATAGTAAATACGGGGAGTTAATTTTCCCCTGAAATAGTTTGGCCAAAAAGGTGAGATTTGCTGCTTGCCTACGGTCTGCTAAAGTGTCTAATTTAAGGAATTTTAGGACCAGCATATAGTCATGGTTGGAACAATCAATTTCTAAAATGTTGCCAACTTAGTTCAAAATCTTTCGGTGAACTCTTTCGTGCATGATTGAATTACAAGCTGTTTGAGGATCCCTGCAGATGACAGAGCCATATTCTAAGATAGGCCTAACAAACGAGCAATAAAGAGCTTTCAAAGGGGAATATTATGTTGTTTTGTAAAATTTCAAACATGTTTTACTGATAATTCTTTTTTTTTTATATAAATTATATTGATAAAATAAGTTATGTTCGGTCAAAAAGCTTGAAAAATTAAAACTATATTTCTAGTTGTACATTTACAGCAGTGGCTCCATTAACCGCGTTAGTAGGTAGTAGGTGGCGTCAATTGATTGTAGATGTGTCGCAAAATTATATAGAGCATTCACATATCACACAATATTGAATATACAATATACTATAGTGTTCAGGGTGCCTCGGGATTTTTAAAAAACACTTAAGCACAAATAGTATAAACTATAGAAAAAAAGGACGTCACAAGATAATCATAATTTTAACAAAAAAATTTTTGGGCAAATTTAAAAAAAATTTATTTATAAAACATTACAATATTTAATTTTGTTTTATTGAAATATTTAAAACATACTAAAAAACGTAAATAGGAACCAAGTTAAGTGGTAAATGAATAAACATTATTTTATTCATACAAAATAAAAGTAAAATTTATCTATGATGTAGATATGTACATCCTATTATTATACTTTATCTATAATTCATTAATAACAAATATGTTAACTTAAGACTTGTATTAAATCATATATGAATATGGCATATTTACATATATTGGGGAAAATATATTTTAGGGTGAAGAAGTAAGGGATGCTGTATAGCATCAAAGCCAGTTCGTGCCTGTTAACTCCCAATGGTGCCGTGAACATTCAAAGGTTGATAAGTTGAGAACCACTAACTTATAACAACTAAAAACTTTCAAATTTCTGCGAAAAGGGTGATTTCCATGACGATGTACTTTCGATATCCACTATATTATACAATTTACATCGGTGCGACAGTGCATATAGACACAATATTGTGTCTATGCATCATTGAGTGAGACCTCCCGGTTTTTTTTAAATATTAAAAACATGAAATAAATTTAACTAGTTCTTTAAATATTAAAGTAATTCTTATAAAATGGTATATTAATATATTATAAAATGGTATATTAATATATTATACAATGTTATATTATAATATCGTGTTTCTAGCTATATAATATTTATAGTGTATACAATATACTTAGGTATAGACGTATAGTAATATGCTTATTGGATATATTATTATGGTAAATTATATTAAACAAGTCACAAGATGTCCTGCCTGGGCCCAGCATTGTCCGTGCCAAAATTATTATTATTATTATTATCTGTAACCAATGGCAACCTTATAAATAAACAAATAAAATATAATTTTTTCAATAGCAGAAAAAAATTGACGGTGTGATATTTCCTTTAGCTACTTTTACAAGGGTTAAATAATAAACAAGCTCGAAGTCTCGAGAAATCTATTGGTATAAGTTTTCTTGAAAACTGTCTATTGAGTGGCGTAGACAGGGGGGTTTTAGGTGTTTAACACCCCTTTCCCCATTTCATAATCCTGGCAACTCCGCAGGGTCCAGTAGGTGTTGACTCTACTAATTACAGACAAATAGATCACAGATATACCATCATCCATTATGATATATATACTAGCTGATCCCGGTCACTTCGTTGCCAGTTAAAAATTCCAACTCTATATGAGACTCACTATAGTGATAATGGGAGCGGTATATTACCAGATAAGCAATCCACCTGTAGTGGATTGCGGACCCCGCTTAATGCGTACTCTATGTAAATAATATGTTTTATTTTTGTTTATTTATTTCCATTTTGATTGCAGACACGCTAATGAGCTGCTATAGGTAATTGCAACCTTACTGCCACCTCGATAAGTAATATGCAAAAATTCAATTTGTTGCATGCTTATGTCTGATTTTTCCGATTAACCACTGGCAGCCAATAAACAAAAAAATACCAATTTCTATTTAATATTTCTATATTTCTCCTATAACTAATAACAATATCTTACACACTATCTTACTTTCTTATTAATATTTATGAATCTATTTTTTCATCCCTACAGCGAATGACTTTGTAGCCCACTAGCCACTAGGCAACCGTGGTATTTATAGTGGTATGACAGTGGCAAAGTTATCGGAGCAGTAGTTGTTGTATGAAGATTGAAGGGGGCTGTAGCCCCCCACCAGGAATATTTCTCAACATATTTAAAAATTATGTGTTTTAAATGCATTGGTATTTTAACGTTTTTCTTCTATTATTCTTCTTATTATTATTATTATATTATCTACTTACACATTTTTCCTATAGAAAAAATTACGGACCAAAAGTTAGCTGGATGTATAATATACTATTTACCTATTATCTGGGTTCAATTTAAATCGGGTTTATTTCTTTTTTTTGTCGGTTAACAGTTAACCTGCTACTTTAGAACCATTCTGTCAAACACCTATATTCCTCTAGCTTTTTCCATCGGATAGCCGGAACTAGCTAATTCCAATTTGAACCTCCGCTAAAAGCTTCTATATCGACTATATCTTTTTCACCACATTTTCCCATCTCTTCCCAGCAACCTCTTTCCTGCCGTGTTATTTTCGAATACTAGAGAAGCAAGAGATTTGGACTACTCCAAGCATGCACGTTCAGCTCGCTCTCTTATTTTTATCTACTCCAATTTGCAGGGTCTATGGAACATAAACTCTAGTTCATTATTTATCGTTATCCTAGATACATGGCTGTAGAAATTCTGCATTGTTCCATAAACTGTCCTCAAAACTTTCGCCTTCTAGAGTCAGTTTTCTTTCATCATAAGTTTCGTTATTATCTAATTTCCGCTTCATTTGGATAACCGGATGTAATATTGCATAATGTACTCGTACCTTCAAAATTCTTCGATAAAGATCTACATATAGATCCTATCAATTTCGCAAGCCCACATAAACATTTATTAGTTGAAAGTATCCTAAAATTCTAGATTATATTTTCTTTCCTGTTCATTTTTTTCAATTAATATTGATCCTAAGTATTTAAAGTTCTAGGTTCTTTTGAAATAATAGTTATTCACTTTCAAGGAGGAGTACATACCCGCTTATTTATTTGTTATTCATTCCTTGTAATCGGTAAAAGCTGACGGTCCAATTGAAAAATTGTGGAGTTTCATTTCTTCGTCGGGTCTAATGTTCAATTCTCTAATGAGTATTTCTAATACTAAGTGTTCAAAATAAATGGAGGGATGCCTTTCATACTTTATATAGTTCTCATAAATCACTTAACCAAATAAATGGAGAGATAGAAAATGTGTATTATAAAAAGTAAAGATATCCCACTATATCCCCCAACTTCGACCACTGCTAATACCTATTGTATATTGAATAATACAGGTGACATTATCTTCCGCTATCACAAACCTGACTTCACTGATATTTGGCCAGTTCAACTACTTCCAACTTTGTCTAAACAAATATTTTCATTTTATCTCGACTAACTTTACCAGATTATAATACCTACGTGTTAGGTCGAATTCTCTCACAGTGAATAAATCAAGAAAGTTTACATGCCGATTTCTGATTTGACAAGCGTTTTTTTTATGAATATCATTGAGTATAAATTTTACAATTATACTCAATGATAAGATATATCTGAAGCATAAACTTATAAAGAAATACAATTTAATTAATAAATCTTCATATTGAAGTTCAATTTTTGGATGGAATTAGCTTTTTAAACGAAGAATAATAATCGAAATTGTATTGTTAAAATATACAAAAATACTAATTATTCAGCATTGTAAACTTGAAACGTATAAATTCTAATACTATCTGGTTATTTACGTTAATGCCTTAAAGCCTAAACGTAATACACACATATTATAGTACCTACTATAATATGTCATGAGTGATAAATGATTATTTAGTCTATACTATTAATTTAAATCATAGACAAATAGAATCATAATAGAAGGTTATATAATGTATTCATGATTCATGTCTAAAGTTTAAGTTTGCAAATATCGCAATACGCCGGTCGCTGGTGCATCGTGCATGCTGCATTGCTGCATATTAAAGTAATATTTTGAAATTTGATTTCACATTTTTTTATCATCACAATAATATTATCAATTTATTATCGTTCGTAACCACGGTTTAAGATATTAGGTATCTTAAACAGTGTACGTAACTTCATGCTTCTTGATAAAAACTGTAAATGAAATACAAAAATCGTTTATTCCTAAACGATTTATCAGTTCTAAGTTCAATTAATCACTCAAATAGTACAGTTCTTTATCACTTGCAACATTATTTTGTATTATTTTTCACTATCATCATTCATCATGATATCCGCCATATCGATTTTAATGATGTATGAGTGACGACCACGGTCCACGACATACTATATACAATATACCGACTGCTGAGTAGTGAGTACTGTCTAATGCTACAAATTTATGGTTTACTCAAGTACTAAATCAAAATCTTGATTTTAAATTCGTAAACTGTTTGTTAATTATCGTTGTAGGGTCAAGTTATCAATAGGGTATGTACTTGGTTCTAATATTAATAAATACTCAAATATTTTAAATTACGATTTAAAATATAAAATCCTTTTATATTTATTGTTTACATCAAATATTGTATTACAGGTGAAATGTGTATGCCTGATTTTCAAAAACCCGCCGACGACTCGCCAATATCTGATGAAGAAGGAGGTGCCCACATGGAGGAAGACAGTGACGAAGAAATTTTTCACTCAAATTCTGACAATGAGTCCTCATCAGATTCAAGTTTAGGTAAATGTTAAGATCCATCTTAAGTGTTAGGTATTCTTCAGAAGATGATTTTATTATTAAAATTTTGTATTGTCTTACCTATAATAGACTACCATGGTTTACCTAATTACTTATTATAATCATAGCCATATTTATAGGTCTGTGATTTTAATCTAATGTGGCGGTATAGGCTGACTAATGACACATCCATCTTAGAGATAGCAGTTTATTATGCTAGGGTATTATGCTATCTCTTTATAATTCTTACTCAATTAAAATTGCAGCTGTTATTTTACAAGACGATGGAGATGTAAGTGATGACGATATTGAAGGAGAAGAAGACGACATCGACGACATCGATGACGATGATGTTGATGATGATGATGATGATGACGACGATGATGATGATGATGACGACGATGATGATGATGATGATGACGACGATGATGATGATGATGATGATGATGAAGAAGAGAATAATGATGGTAGTGGTGATGGAGACGATGATGAAGAATTAGAAGAAGAAGAAGAAGATGAAGTGGTAGCAGCTTTTCTTTCAGCTAGTTCAGATAGAAATAGAAACCATCCACCTAATTTGTCTGTTGGTAATGTCCTAATCGGTGGATTTTCTTTTCATCCAAGTACAAATGTTATTGCTCTTGGTCTATCAAATGGTGATATTGCTATGTATGCACATTATTTTCCTGATTAAAGAATACTAGGTATAGATATGTATTTATAATATAAATACTTTTTGTTTTGTTTATAGGTATAAGTATACTAATGAAATGAATGAGCATTTGAGGACAAATGATAATGTTCATTTAAAAAAAGTTATGGTATTAGAATTTAATGAAACTGGTGATTTAATCTATTCAGCTTGTAAAGACAACAATGTCTCAGTGTCTGATGCCGAAACAGGAAAAATGAAAGTATATTTTGAAAAAGCTCATACAGCTGGGTTAGTTCATTCAAACTTAACAAATTTCCATAGTTTAGCTTAAAAAATTTCCTTTTATAGGAGTTTTGTTACAGCACTTTCTTTTATTGATGAAAATTTGTTCGCCACTGGTGATGAAGACGGCGTAGTTAATGGTAAGAAAAAACAGTTGCACATTTTTTATATTAAATATACTTTGATAATTAGTATAAATTATATTTTCCAGTTTGGGATATACGAGCAAACGGGTGTCGATTTTCCTTAAAGAAAACTGAGGATAGCATTAATTCTATGATCACCATTAATAATAGTAATAATCAACCTACTTTAGCTTGTACGTCCGGTGATGGTACATTGACCATTATTGACTTATCAACAAAAAAAATGGTTGTCCAGGTATTTAAATACATTTTTACTTTTGTAATCATAATTATAATTTTAATTTTAATATAATTATACTTTTAATATCTTTTTTTAGTCAGAACCATATAAATCTGTACTAACTAGCTGTGTAACAATGAAAAGAAAAACAAAAGTAGTATGTGGTACTGGTGAAGGATCACTGATTACATTTAATACAGGCGACTTCACTATGTTCAATGATGAATTTCCTTGTGTTGATAAAGGTGCTGCAGTGAACAGATTAGTTCCAGTTACAGAAAATATTATAATAAGTGCTTTAGATAATGGAAAAATCAGGTATGATAAATATATATTTTGTTTTTCTCACCGACATAGATTAAAATAAAAACATTTATAATTTAGGGCTACAAATTTATTTCCCAACTGCCATTTGGGAATTGTTGGTCATCATCAAGATATGTCAGTTGACCTATTGGATATATCAGACAATGGTCATTTATTAGCTTCAACATCTTATTTCAGTAGTATTGTTAAGTTTTGGAACATAGAATTCTTCGAAGACTTTGATTTAAAAAAACACTTTAAGAAGATCAATCCCAAAGAATTTAATTTGCCATCATCAAATGTTGTTAATGCTACAGACTTCTTTTCCGGTCTTCAATAAATGTTTGTAAATGGTGCGATGTACATAAAACTATTTAGATAATGTAAAGACTACAATTTTTATTATTAGTTCACTTTTTAAGTGAAAAAAAAACTGATGAAACATTTTATCATATAAGATTTTACTTGATATACATCTATATTTTTTAATTTCCAAATAAATCCTTGTATAAATTACTTAAAAAAAAAAATGATTCTCATTTGATTTAAATTGACAAGTATGTCAACATGGAATTTAACAATCAGAATATCACCTAACACTATTAAAACCTATAAAGTTTTTAGTATAATGTTATTAGTAGATTTTATAAATATCACTGAACCAAATGAACCAAAAGTACTCGACGGATCCACTGTTTTATCTACAGTTATAAATGCACCGAATTTAAAAAAAATATATATTTTTTCAATAATTCTAATTTCTAATAATAAATATAAATAATTCCATGCTGAAATGGAATGCTTGCTTTAATATCTTAATATAGTAATCAGTGATTAAGTAAAGATGTTGACTAACCAACTAATATAATAAATATATAATAAATTATTACAAAATTAAATTTCTAAACTAATTATTTAAAAAAAGGGAAGTACTTATCATAATTATGTATATCTAATTATTTTAAAGTTAAATATAATTGGTTATAGTTAAAATCCAATAATAATTATACATTTAAAAATAAGTGTAAATATAAAATGCACATAGTTGGTTGGTAGATATTTAGTATTGACAATAAAATAAATAAAAAATACTTCAAAAATTAGTCAAGAGTTCATCGTGACCCAGTTTGATCAGGTCTATAATAATGCGACGAAGGATGAGATGGATGTACAGGAGGTGGAAAGCATCTAACATGTTCAACCGCACTTGCATCTGTTTCATTAGCTTTTAAATATTTGTTCAATGTAGCAAAAATTTGAGAATTCAATACTTGAAAACGACGTATTCTGTCAACCATACGTTTCAAGTGCTGCAAAGAAAACAAATCATTTATAATGTCTGTATACCATATAATATATGTATTTGGTACATACAATTCCTTTAACATTATCATCTTTGCTGTCAACTCGTTGGACTCGAAGTATGTGGTAGCAAAAATCGAGTGCCTCAAATCTTCTCTGCTGGCCAAGTAAAACAATCATTGTACAACCCGCCCAATGAAGTCCTTCACCAAAAAGCTCCCTAAAACATGATGAATAAAAATGTATGTTCTAAACTATAATAATAATGAATAAATGTACTTACTCAACAGTAAATTCAGTATCACCCACCGGTATACAATACACAAATTGAAGGGCTGACCATAGTCTATGAAATTCTGTACACTCGTCTATGTTCATCACACCATTTTGAGGTGGTGGACCTACCCATACAGGGTCATCTAACATACCTCGAAGTCTTGAAAGTACCACTTCAAATATTGATAGGCCACAACATAAACGCTCACGTGTTAATAGGTCTCCATCACGAGCTATTGTAACTTGCTAAAATTAAAATTAATATACAAACAATAATTGAATACTTTAATCTATAATACTAACTTTAGCTGTTCCATATCGCTCAATGTTGGGAACAATTTGTAAAGCAGCATACTTTGCTTCTAATCGTTTTTGTTTACTTTCTGTCTTTTCACCTTCCTTAGTAAAAGGCCTAGGTAAAATGTTCTGAAATGGTGCAGCATGCAAAAGGTCGCAAACTTCTTCTTGAGATAATGCTTGTTCCATCAATAAACAAAATAGAATTGTGTTGCCTAATTCTCGAAAATTGTGAAACAATTCGGTCTTCGCATCAGGGTACTGCACTATATCATTAAGCTGAGCATGATAATAGCCTAAGACACCAGGTGATCCATAGTCATATCGTGGTAATTTGCATTGCCTGGGCATAGCTTCCATTAATGTTTTTGCAAATTGTAAAAGATTTCCCTGAATCAATGACTTGACTATTTTAAGCAACTCTTCCATAACAACAGCAATTCCTTGATAGCCTAACATTTTACACATAGTACGGAAATGTGGAGCACCAACAAATCCTAAATTAGAAAACAATTAATTAATAACAACAGTTTAATTACAAAAATAAATAATACTTGCCAGTATATTGTCCGTAAATAGTAGTGTAGGCAAGATTCAATTGTTTGCTACCCCACAAATATTGGTGTCCCATTTGAGGAGGTTTGTCCCTTTGTACTGGTTGCGTAAAACTTATGCCTCGACATTTGACAAAACGATTGGTAGCGGCGTTATAACAATAGTTTGGTAAAAAATCATAATTTAATTCCCAAAAAACATGCAAAGTGATACGGCCATATGGAGCCAGCACATTATGATTAGCTTCACGAAACATAGCATCAAATTCATCTAAAGCTAAATGTTTACATAACAATTTGTGGCACAATCTGTTTACTTGCATAATACCTTCCAATTCCTATATTAAAAATACCGTTACATTGTATGGAATTCTAACAGTTGATAAATAATAAAGTTAACAAATAACATACCACAATACCAGTAATATCACCACCTTCAAATTTTGCAATAGCTAGTTCTAGAGACTTTAACATATCTGCATTAACTCGTTGTGTGATAAGTTTGTTTAAATCTACACTACGTCCTAATAATTGCACATGTCGTTGTTTTAACAGAGTTTCATATCTATTTGCTCTTGGATATAAAATAAGGTATGTACCCATAGCTACACACTCAACACGGAATCTCTTATCCAATAGAATACTCGATGCTAATTGTTTATAGTGAGCAAAGATTTGCTCACTTAATTTGTAAACAAATTGATCAAAGCAAAGATTTACTTCAGCTTCAACTTCATCATATAGAAATTGTTTGCGAAATACAGTTAAAGCATAATGAGCACTGTCATTGTACAAATCTAATGGGTATAAGACATACTCCATCATGGACGGTTCTTTGGTCTTCAAAATATGATCAGTCAATATCCAAGGCATTGACATTTCAATAGGAAACTGAATTCTTTTCTCCATTGTAATCAAATCACTGCATTCTTCGTTGTGCTGATGTTTGACAGTACATTTTTGAATACGTCTTGCCATGGTCATTTCCAAATAAAATTCACGATACCATAGTTGTGAAAGATCACAACATTGTTGTAATGACTCTGAAATAAATTTGATGAAATAATATAATTTAAAAATATATATAATAAATTAATATTTACATAGGCAAGACTAGACTTTTTCACTAAAAAAGTAAGTAAGTAGGTAGCTTTAATTCCAAAAATATTAACAGGCCAGTAATTGAGTAATGTATTCAATAGGTATTGCTCCTACAAATATAGATGTAAAATTGTAGCCATTTACAATGCAGGCATTACATTTTTCTTTTAAATAAAAAGGTTATTATATTTTTGGTTTCTCATCTATATATTATTTATTTCCTAAGCATGACACTCTGAATATGTGCTTGTAAGTTGTTTTCTTTGATTGAAATTAATACTTGTTCATAAAACTTCAATAAAAAAGCAAAGGCATTTCTGCTGCATTCTATTGATTATTATATTAGTGGATTGTTTGGAAAGAATAGTGTATTTTTAGTAGAAGAGTTCGAGCAGCGAATCGAGTTCATACTTGGTCGTCACAACCACCAGGGTATATAGCTTATAAAGTTGACTATACATTACATGTTTCATAATTTAACTGGCAATATTATTAATTGGCCACATTGTTGACATATTATGCAACTGAGACAAATATTTATTGTTAGAATTAAAATTGTTTATTATGAATGTACCAATATTTTTACATATAACATATCTACAGGTAATTGTATTATATCGTGGTATTTATTGAAATAACTAATCAATTATCCAATTATAAATAATAAGTTATGTATACATACGGCTAAATCCAAGAAGATAGCTCCAAAAAAATGAAGTCTTATGAAATTGATCAATTTGCATTAGGTATTGTCCATCAATATCTTTTCGTAAAGTACGTTTACCACCAGATTTGTCTGCAATTAATGATTCCAACATTGTTCTAACCATATAAAGTTGGGTAGATGATGGACCTAAAAAAAAGGAAACACATAGTAGAAGTGTTGTTAATACTATTATTACAATTGAACTTACCAACATTCCTTCTGGGTACTTTAATTCCAAATCCAACATCTGGATCCTTTTTTCCTTTCAAAGCTGGATCTGCTGATGGCTCTACACCTCTCTGCCAGTCAGCACAAGTTTCTCGAACTGAAACGAGTATACTTCTAATAAGATCTCTTTTATTCTTAATAGCCTTTCTTAATGGTTCTCTCAATGTCAACTGAACAAAATCTTGTAATTCTGCATAGATATTACGACGAATAGTGTCAGTAAAAACTGTTTCCATTCGAGCCATAAGGACTTGTAATCCTTTTATCATCGCTATTACTTCAATAAGCGCAAATTTTTCTTCATCCGTGTAATTGTAACGTGTGGCTCGTTCATATTCTTCAGCTTCGACAGGACATTCTTTGTTTTGATGGTGATCAGTAGGATGAAGTAATTTCCAAGAATAAAGTTCTGTCACAACACTTGTCCATTCAGATAGAAGTTGTAAGCCCCTTAATGCCAATTCAGCTGTATCTTTATTTTCAGTATCTGTTCTTGTTTCTTTATACGTAGTTGTTACTTCATTGCTATAACGAGCCAATTCACTAATATACTTCACATGATCTTCTCTTATTTGAGGTAAATGTACCATAAGATCTGCTTGTGGACTGATTTGTGGTGAACTAGATAAAGGCCAACGTCCTGGCTCAAAATGTTTAGAACGCTTGATATAATTAAATGGTGCTATCTGCATGTCTCCAAATAGAGGGACAACTTCTAGATTCTAATATATTAAATAAATAATTCATATTAATAATAATTCATTACCAATTAAATATTAAACAAATAAAATAATTTTAAACCTTAAAAATTCTGTCAATTTTGCCTAAATTCAGTTTTTTCTTCTGATCTAATTTATTAATATTACACAGTTCATTGTCCATGAGAAACAATCCGAACCCCATAACCTGAAAATAAAACATATATGAACTTTACAAAGAAGAATAAATTATAAAAGTATTCATATTTACTTTAACAAGCATATGCTTTTCTGATGGAGTAAGATACATTTTTGTTTCAAACATTTGAACACACAAATTGACAACATCTGATAAAAGTTCTTCGTATGCAGGAATTTTTTCCAAATTTTCTTTAACTGTGTCTCTAATTTTATTTTGTGTAGCCAAGAACATTGATAAATTTTGAGATTCTTGAAGTGTATGAGAGTCTGCCATCACTTTTAAAAATTGAGCGGCTCGGCGATAGCTTGAATAATCATTTTTTACACTAGATTTCATGTTTTTCAGTTCGTCAAGCACAGCAAACATATTAATGAATTTCCCAAGCGTTAGTATGTATGCTTCAGATATAAAGTCTTTTCGTTTTTCAGCATGGCACAAACGTTTAACTTCTCCACAAAATCGTTCAATTGCTTTCCTCTAATATACAATAAAAATAATAATAACAAACATTCTTACTTCTAAAATTCTAACCTAATCCTTGTAAAAGATAAAAAAAAAATATTGATCTTATTACTTGGAAATACATGAACTGAAGCAGTTTGTTAACTTCAGGTCCTAAAACCTCAACAGTTTTTTCATATATTTCAACTCGATTAGGTTGTTCGTTGGATTTTGGCTGTGGAATTGCTCTTGAACAACAACGCCAGGTGTAAAGCATGACCGCATGTACTTGTCCTTCTTCTAATAATTCATTCTAAATAAAGATGAAAAAGAAGAAAAATATTGCATAAATATAATCACATTCAGTAATCAACAAGTTGTAAATTGTAATCTTACAAGACTGGCATGAACAGTGGCTTCTTCAATATATTTTGCTATGCCTGTCACAAATCCATTACGGTCTTCAAAATTTGTATCAAAATCAGCTTGATAAAGAATTGAACAAGGCTGTGCTTCTATACACGGTTGTTCATCAGGCAGTGTGAGTTCATCGAGTACATCCACATTCGACAAAGCATCAGTCAATGTCACCTTGTCCGTGGCCATATTCTAAAGATACAAATAACACGTAGTAATTAAAAAAAACTTTATTTACCTATATATTTTATTAACAGAAAAAGTGAATTACTGCAATGTGTTCTAGGTGTCTTTTCAATTCTTAAGTTTAAAACAAAATGCGTAATGGTTTAAATAATAGATATGAATGATATGATAGACTAGATAGGTATTATAGATTAAACTGGTAATGAGAAGTTATTAATGTAAGGAATCATATTTAATTGATTCAAGAACAGCATAACTTTAATAGAAATAAATTGAAAATTATAAACAAACCAAGTACTTTAACAAATTAACTTATCAGATAAAAATTCTTTCGTCAGGACCAGCATTTCCCCCACAATCAAACACTAATTTATTTATGTATTATCTATGCCCAGACCCCGACCATGCCCAGACGGCCAGACCGCAGAATATAATATTGACTTCGGCTACAATTATTTATTTTAACGTGATAACTGATAACAGTTTTATAGTTGTTAAAATTGGATTTACAATATTTATTATTTACCTACATATTATAAATTAATAATTATATAATTTTAAGACAAACTGATTTTATTTGGTTTTTTTTTAATGTAAATGAATAGTAAATTGTAAAATTAAATTGATTCTTGTGTTATAGTTATGCCGCAAACTTGTTTCTAGCATCAATAAGTATTAGGTTTTTCAAAAATGATTTTGTTTGCAAGTTCCAAATGTTCGGATCTCAATTCTTTATAGTTGTTATCACGGTCTTAGAATACCGTCGTTGTTATAATACACGGCAATATAATCTATAGCTGCTGTGGGTACAAATTTTTTAAATCCAAAATATTTGTTCATATTTTGAAATTTAAATTCAAAATATAACTAATATTTGAATGTTTAATTTAATTGTTATAAATGTTCTGACAATACCCTTTAATTATCTTTCTTATTTAAATTTATAATAACTGATACTTTGTTTACATTTAATTAACTACATTTGGATTTATATAAGTTTAAGAATTTGCAACAAAAAATATTAGAATATATTAATTCAAAAGTGTTCTCTTGGCCGAATACTGCAGAATAGGTCACCAAAATTTACAGTTAAAATACTTTACCGGGGTGTTTTGTTTATTGATATGAAATAAATAATCATATTTCCAATTCCAGGTACTAAATGATGAACATGAAACTATTAATTTTACCACTCAGATATACTTTCAGCAGGCATCTGTACTCCAGTTGTTCAGTAAAAGAAATTTTTAATACTCAACCCGAGGGTTGTAAAAAAAAGTTAAAGGTAATACCTATCTATTTAGTTTTGATGAAATTTAATAATTAGTTATATGAATCAGTTTATTCTTTAATTTAGTAATTATATAATAATGTAGCTATTATTTATTCACTCTATGACCTATGCACAACACATTTAAATGCATAATAAATATTTTCTAATAATAATCAAACTATACAATTTCAAAGTAAATATTTAATGATTATATAAATGAACTTTGTATATTACTAATCACTTTGGTTTGTTTGATTTTTAGGGTTGGGCAAAAGCAATGCGTAAAATGAAAGAAAACATATTTGTGGACTTAGATGATGGTTCTACACATCGCCGCCTACAAGTAGTAATACCCAAAAATAAGATTCCAGCTTCATTGACCTACGGATGTTCCTTTGAAGCTGAGGGTGTCTTAGTTAAGAACCCTAGCAATCAACTTGAATTGGTAGCTGAATCTATTAATGTTTATGGATTATGTGTTGTCCAAGATGGTTATCCATTTGCTCCTCGAAAAACTTACCATCCAGAATATGTAAGACAACATTTACATATTCGACCACGTACAGCAACATTTAGTAGTCTACTTAGACTCAGAGACAAATTGTCTAGTGCTGTTAGAAATACATTTGCTGAAGACAATTTTATAGAAATAAATGCTCCTGTGTTATCTTCTAATGATTGTGAAGGAGCTGGTGAAGTATTTGCAGTTAAACCAGATAGTGAAATTTTAATTAAAGAAATGATTTCAAAAGATCATCAGTCACCTATGGAAGCTTTTTTTAATGGGCAGACATATTTAACAGTATCTGGACAGATGCATTTAGAATGTATGGCACGGGCTTTAACTAAAGTTTACACATTAGGTCCAACATTTAGAGCAGAAAATTCAAAGTCTAGATTACATTTATCAGAATTTTATATGATTGAAGCAGAGCAAGCTTTTATTAACAATATCGATGAACTCTTGAGCTCAATAGAAAAAACTACATCTACAGTTGTAAAACAACTATTAGAGAAATCCAGTGATGAAATAGACCATTACAGAAACATCACAGGTGCTTCTAAAGACAATGACCCTGTGAATATGGTAAATGTTCCTTATGAAGTAATTAGTTATCAAAAAGCATGTGATGTACTAGAAAAACAAAATTGTTTTAAAAATTCAATGATTCGAGGAAAACCTTTGGCTAAAGAACATGAATTGTTTTTAGTGAAATATAACGGTCAGAAACCAATTTTTGTCGTGGACTGGCCCAAAGATTTGAAACCATTTTATACTAAAGCTATACCTAATAACAAGTCATTAGTACGTTAAATATTCAACTAATTAGTATACAAAATAATGATTTTTTTTTTATCGTATTCGTATAGGTGTATGCTGTAGACCTATTATGTCCAAATGTTGGTGAATTATGTGGTGGAAGTGTGCGTGAAGATGATTATGATGTTTTAAAAGAAAAATTATCTTTTGAAGGATTGGAAGACAAACTCGATTGGTATTTAGAATTGAGAAAATTTGGTAATGTGTCCACTGCAGGTTTTGGCATAGGTTTTGAACGATTTCTTCAAGTATTGTTAGATATACAGAATATTAAAGACACCATTGCATTTCCTCGATGGCCACATAACTGTAAAATGTAAATCTCGAATTTAATAATAAAACTTGTTTACTGTTTTAAATTTGTAGTTATATTCTATTGTTTGTAGTATCAATTTGATTTATTTGAATATATATATTATTTTAAATTTTGTCCTAATGATATTTTAACTTCTTCAAATATTCTTACTATTAATTGGCCGATGCTGTAAAATAATAATATAAACTCTTCACACAGAAATATTGAAGTACATTTTTAATAAACAATACATAAGATAATGAGCATAATTCTTTATTGTAAACAAGAAATCCAACACAATATTAATAATCAACAACAATATTGTATTTAATAGTCACTAAAAAAAATTACTAAACTAGTAATTCATAATAATATAATATTTTAACTACTATAATAATTACCAAAGATTTATTTTTATTTATTAATTTAAAATATATTATACAAACACAAGTATGTTCTATGCGAAATAAAAGGAAATTAATATCTATATTGTTTCATACGGACTACCAACAAGTCATAACTACTGTTTTTAACCCTGTGAATTTAAAATGCACAATGTCTATTTCAATGTTATTACTATTTATGAATTAATTAAAAGTTTCAAGTATTTTATTCAGTAAATAAATAGTTAGGAAACATTTTATTAGAAATGAGATTAAAATCAATATTATAAAATTATAATTTATTTTGGTAAAAAAAAATCAACAATGTGAACAACTTAATCTAATGTTTTATATTATTATAATATACAAATAAAAATGTACTTTATATATATTTATAAATATATAAATAATATTATCACACTTTAAGCACATACATTTACAACATTTAAACAGGTATATATTATATACATTTCAAATATTATAATATTATAGGTTAATTTATTCACAACATAGGCCACATATATTTTACATAATTGAACATAATCCTGACATTTCTTTACCTTTATTTACTATTGGATATTCCTTAAGTTTTTTTGCATTAAGCATCAGTCTCGGTTTCATTTCTCTTTGTATTTTAGGAGCCACTACAGTTTCCATTTCAAGCCCTGGCGGTGGTGGTTGATCAGGATCAATTTCCCCGAATGTCTGTGTGAAATCTGGAGGTGATTGTGGTTCAATGGTTGTGTTTTCAGAGGCGACGTTTGATTTTACAACAGGTGTAATTTTTTGACTGATGTTTATCTTGATTGTCCCCATTGCGGGAGCAACTGGCACATTCCATTCAGTGTTAGTATTTCCATCAATAGAACATGTCATTGTAGAAACAGGGGATGGAGATTTTGGTTTAATTTCTTCAGGTACAATTTCTTGAGTGATTGGAGGGGAAGACAAACTGTTAATATTTTCAACAATGGGTTCATCTACTAATTTAGGTGATAAAACTTCAGTCACTTGAATTATCTCCATAGTGTCAGGAATTTCCAAATCTTCATAGTTCTTTGATTTCATACTTTCTTCAGTCTCTGATTCTTGAATAGAAGTTTGAATTAAATTTTCATCTGTAATTTGCTCTTCATTTACTCTTAGTTTAATCGATTCTGCTTCCTTAATAGTTTCCGTTTCCTTAAATGTTACTGTTTCTGTTGCTACAACTGCTTCTATTTCCTTAACTGTTTCTGTTTCCATAACTGTTTCTGTTTCTATTTTCATAACTGTAGCAGTCTTTGTAACAGTTTCCTTGTCTATAACTGCTTCTTTTTCTGAAATTACTTCTTTAATGTCAATTGGTTCTTTTTTTATCAATATTTCTCTCTTTATTAATGAATCTTTCTCAGTTAAAAGCTTTTCTTCATCTTTCAATTGTATTTCTTCTTTTTCTTCATATTTGATTTTTATATCTTCTTCCAATTTTAATTCCAATTGTTCTTCTTTAATTTCTATTCTTTGACTTTCCAATTTCTTAGCTTCCTCAATAGCTCGATTTCTCTTACGAATTTTTTCCTCTCGAGTTTTCTAAAAAAAAAGGCAATTTTAAATATAATTACTAAATAAGAAATAATATATTTAACTTACAATCATATCATCATGGCACATAGGATGATACAGTCGTTTATCCTTTTCCACACAATTCTTCAATTGCCACTCTTCATCTTTTTCATTATAAAATTGTTCAAACTGATCATGACACAAATAACAGGCAGCTAGTTCACTATTTTCACCAGCTGGAACACAAGGAACATTCTCTTCTTCTAATTTTTCATCTTCTTTAGCACCTTTTTCTGCTTGTATATCAAACCAACTTGCAGCTAAAAGTGGTAAAAAATGTTATGTGAATTTTAATAATGAATTAAGAATATAAGGAAAAAAAATGTTCAATCTAAAAATTAATCAAATTAGGTACTTGTGCTTAGAATGAAAGTACTACAGTAATTATATGTACAAACATATTTTAAGTGTATAATTTTCTTTTAAAGTATAGAAAATTCACAAATAATGAAACTAATACAACAAATACGTAAACTGATCCTGAGTTTCTCTACCAGCAATTTCATGTAGTATTATAATGGTGTCACAGATTTTTTTTAGCTTTAATGGTATTCATAAATAATCATAATACGCTTTGTTCGCAATGATTTCAATGCTTAGATAATTGTAAGTATATGTTAGGGTGTGAAAAAAAAGGTCAGAACCACTGAATTAATCAACGATACAATATTAAATACATTGTTGATAAGATCAACAAACAATAATGCAAGGGGCATGTTAAATTAAACATAAAAACAATTGATAAATACCAATATTTCATTCATTATTGAAATTATTAATTATCAACCATAATTTAATTATTAAAATGGATCAACTCTTAAACTGCTCATTTTTTTATTTTAGAAATGTGATTTTTTATGAAAAATCTTGAATATGTATCAAATCATCAATTACCTCTAGTGGTTTCATCTTCTTGTTCTTCATATTTACACCAGTCACTAGTATCATAATACCATTTTCTAGATTGGACCGTTTTGCTTGCCATTTTTTCACGTCTATTTTGCCTAAAATGCCAATCTAAATGACTACTTTACTTAATGGTAAACTCTGCAGTAAAACGAATACCACAAGAACTGCACTGAATTCCTGTATATAAGTTGTGAATTAATCCTGGTTGTTTTCTGAAATAAGACAATATATTTATAACAAAATAAAGTTATTAAAAAAAATTGTAATACTAACTGTTTTAAAGACGAAGGATCTGAAAAATCAACAGGTTTTATCGTTAAATTTTCTGCCTCTTTCTCTTTCTTTTTTAGTTTTGATTGGACAACTTCTTTTGGTTTGTCCTTAGGTACAATTCCACTATCCACTAACTTCTTAAATAACTCATTAATATCCATATCACTAGGTAAGACAGGAGGTATTGTAGGTGCAGTTACTGGTGGTGGTACATATGTACTTGTAACAGATTCCAATTTCTGAACAACATTAGAAAGTAGAGGTAGCGTTGCGGTAGCTGCAAAATTATGAAACAAATTAATTACACAATGGTTTTAAATATTTATTTGAGTTTAGATTTACTTGGTGCTAAAGAATACGAAGAAGAGAATGACTGAGTAGGAAGCTGGTTAATATCTTCATTTGGTGTTAATGTAGTCATTTCAAAACCAGTGAAATTTGATGGCATTGGTGGAGCAGGTATTGGAGGTAAAGATTCAGTAGAAGAATCTTCAGTTAGTACCACACCCATCATTTGAGAAATAGCAGCATAACCTGGTCTAATGTTTGGTGGTAATCCTGTGAATCTTAAGTAATGTTTATTGCCTCTTACAATAATTGCTTGTGGTGGTCCATTATAGTTGACTTTAAACGGTTGGTCATTAATCATAGCTCTCATCAAACCATCAATAAAACGGAAAATAAGTGCTGTGTTACCCACATCAATACGCTGTGGTTTAGCATCTAAATAGACAGGTACAGTGTACGAGTTATCAATAATAATGGCTATACGACCAGCAACTAAATCTGATCGCTTTGTGTTGCCTATATTAACTGAAGGAGGAGGACCTTCAAGTTTAACAGATCTTTTAACACCACCAAGGTCTGTAAAGATTGGAGAGCCTCCAAAAAAACATTCATAGAAATTGCCATCTAAATAAAGTTCTCGAGTTGGTGCACCTAACCGTACTCTATGAGGTTGACCATCTAATAAAAATTCTCTATCAGGACTATTGAAATGACATAAAACTGGAAAAAGATCATCAAATATAACATTTTTTGGAGTTCCTTGGAAGTATATCTCTCTAGGATCGTCCCAAGATACAAAAGTAATTGCTGTTGGACCATAAAATCGTACTTCTCTTGATACACCATCAATACTGATAGTTTTTGTAGCATCATGAGCAATCATATCCAATATTACAGGATCTGAAGGAGGAATAACAGGAACTGTCCAATCAGGCGAAGAAGATGCAAACGGAGCAGTTGGTCTAGGCACTTCATACATGGGCGGTGGAACAAGAGATCTTGTCGAATGAGAATAATTTGGACGAGGGCCTCTAGACCAAGGTTCAATTCTATTTGGAGGGAATCTAGACCCATTCTCTGGTCTTGAATTCCAACTTTTATTATTTCTCCACGTACGAGTTTTAGAATTTTCCTTTTCATTGCGTTTGAATGTTGTTTTACGCCTTTTATACACTGTTCGATCCTCAGAATCTGATTTCTTGTTAATTTTTTTTGATTCATCTGAACCAGTGGAACAACTTTTTGAAGAACAGTCGCTATCACTTCCGCTGACATCACTTGGTTTTTTGTTAACTACGTTCCAAGAGCCAAGCCCAGGACTGTTTTCGTCGACAGGTTTTTCAATAATAGTTGCTGTATCCACTAAGGTAGGTTTTAAATCAGTACCATTTCCAATAACAGGTAGAGTAATTTTTGGAATAATGTACTCTTTTAACTTAGTATTAGTATCTTCTGTATTATTGACTTCTTCTAATTTTTCAACTTCCGTCATTTCAATAACCTTAAATATTAAAATAAAAAATAATAATTAATTCAAAATTCTATAAATCCATACAAATTCATTAATTCACTAATTTAAAATTCATTAATAAAATTCTATCAAAATTGTATTATTCTTACCTGACACATAATTTTTTTATATTCATCAAAAGATATGCTTCCAGCGTTTAAAGCTTCTTCAGCTTGTCTTAGAATATGGCTTTTATTGTTTTGTGTAGGTTTAGCTCTCATATCTACGTCCATTGTATCATTATTTTCTATTAATTTTTCATTCAACTCACAAGGAATTTTTTTGGTAGGAGACTTGTATGGTGTTTTAAATGTATCTGGTTTGATTTCCTTATATTTTGCCCAAGATTTACCAACCTCAGGATTTGGTTTTTCAGATATTTGTGGCGGAGGTGGTGGTGTGGGTACAATAGGGGGAGCAGATAATGTTCGTAAATCCACATCTTCTGCACCAAAGAGTCTGAAAATTATTTTTATTGAAATGAAAATCAATATAAAACTAGTTAAAGCATACATAAACATTATAAGTTCACAGAAATGTATCATTAATAACTATATATGATGACACAACTCATTTAAAATTAAAACAGAAATTAAAGTTTTTGAAAACATAGTAACCAACTCATATATATTATTATTTAGTACAAATGTATGGCATATCTGATAAACAAGATAAGATTTCTGTATACATCTATATTTATAGTTAAAATAAAATCCAGAACTAATGGCTTTCCAATTTTCCATCTAATTTTATCAAATCCACTATCTGACAATAACTTGTAGATAAGATTTTAAATACACAATATACAGAGTATTAATTTGTTTATACTAAGAATATACAAAGAAACTGCATTGAAGGACATTAACTGCCAAAACAAAATATTCACATACACAGAACAATTTCTATTAGAACCAAAATAAATGTTTTATTTTAAAAACGAAGACTTACTAATAAATTAAAAAATGATTGTATTAAAAATAAAAATTAGTGGGTGCAGTACATTTGTAGATGTTTGTCAATATTAAAATACAAATGCTATAACAAATATACACATTTACACAAAATATACACATATACATAATATTATGTAATAAAACCCTTTTGAATTATGTCTTTATTGTGTTTAAATTATACATATATTCAAATTCTGATACTTTGAAATTTCTAAGTCTAGTTAAAGACAATATTTTTACATCATTTAACTATTTAAGGAGTATTATAATGATAGAAACTTTTCTTCTTCAAATGAGAATCTACATGTCTTAATACAGAATATGAATTAGATGTTTTTTTAGAAATATTGATGTATCATACTCAAATTTGAACAAAAAGTTTCTGAGTTACTCTGCATTAAATAGTAAGGATAATAATCTATTAAAGGGATACATTAAAAAAAATATATATACATATAATATTATTTGGTACAAAGTTTATCCATAAGCATTTTGCTATATTTAAAACTGAATAATTGACTAAGTAGTAATTATTAACAAATATTTTTTATTGTATACTTAAATATAATAACCTATCTTGTATCCATTTATTAAGTATTTAATAGCCTATTTTCCTTAGTATTTAAAGAAGAACTAAGAAATTTTTTGTTCAGATTTCAATTACAATATGTCAACATTATCAGAAAAAACCTCTGATTTACAAGTTGCATTACAAAATGTAAGCTCATTTAGAAAACTAATGTTGGTATTGCCACAGAGTACTCCATAAATATTGTGAAAAATCCAAGTACTTTAGAAAACCATCTTGTACAACAATTCCAAAAATCAGAATATTCAAATGTATATTTTTAACATGAAAAGGGGATGAGTGGATGCGCTCTCCTATACAATAGGTTACAAGCGGGTTTCATGTAATTGATGATATAAAACTATATCAGAAGACTTGTATTAAATTTTCAAGCTTTCCACCCAACAAATAAATTTTTTTGTGACATTTATGGAAGCAAACTATAAAAAATTGAAAACAAATAAAACTATTTTGAAAATTTTATTAAGTATATGAATTGATAAAATAAACATATGTTGTAAATCTACAGTTAATCGTTTTTGAATGAAACAAAATATGGAAACCGACGAGTAAACATCCAATGTAAAATATTTTATTTTTTTTTATAGTTAGACAAACTTATAAGGAATCTTGTATAAAATTTGAAAATTTTAGATATAAAAAGAATTTTTTTATGAATATCTAACTTAAATTAATTTGCAAGTTTTAGTGATTTTTCACTACAACAACTTACAAGGAACTTTGTATCACATTTTCGAGTTTTTTGACAGAGCGAACATTTTTTTAACAACATTAGTTTAAAAAAACTAATAATATTCAACATTTCTACATGCAAATAAATAGTTTAACCAGTCAGCAAAAATTGCATGAGTCCACGGTACTTGTTTTTAGAGTTACATCAAGACAAAATCGATTTCGTCGAAAACCGGTTTTCCATGATAATTCTAATTTTTTCTTAAGTTTTTATTTGTTTTTCCTGTCATATTTGAAAACTATTGGGAATGTTTTACATTAGTCTCTTCAAAGAACCAACTAGACTCACTTTCCCACCATAAAGATACTGTTGAAGAAAATCAAAACACTTCTTGCTATCCCAAAAGGTGATGCCAGACAAAAAGAAAAAAAACAATCAATGTAAAATCAATACATTCATTACTCCTCAGAATCTAATAGGGTGAGCATGTTTAAAAAATCATTTTATATATATTTTCTATTTAGTAACATAATTAAAATCTAGAAAATATATATTTACACAAATTGATTATTTTTTAAAATAATAAATGATTTTCATTACATTAAAATAATTCTAAATCAATCGAAATAATACATAATTAAATTTAAATAAATGATCTGTATCTAAAGTATGTTAGGGCATTTTGTTAACTTTTATAAAATGTCCATAGGAATTTCATCAGCAAAGTTCCATCATCATAATTTTTTAAATGATCTGCATATTTTGAAATTAATTTAATTTATATCTTACACTTTGTCTAATATAAATTTTTGACTTCCGGTGTATGCAAAACATAAGGTTATAAAAATATTCTGAGTACAATTTTATGATTAAGAGGATGTCAGAGCACAGTTTGTTTTCTCTCTCTCTGGCCCAAGTGCAATATAATATACAAAACGCACTTACATAGAATCATTTTTTAAAATGTTTTTGAGTTATCTTAAAGTAATATCATCTATTACGAAATCGATCATATCAATTCATCTAAATATTGTCTCAAAACCGATTTAAATTTACAATTTTTTGTTTTGTTAGATGAATACTAAGTCAAACAATAATAAAATATAAAACCAAAATCATACCCTCAAAAAGTTTTGTTATACGTGATTTTACTCTAAGCTTACTCAAAAATCATAAAAACAAATTTAAGTGAGTGTCATATCTATATTGCGTATGATTCTGAACGAAAAAACAAATATTGAGCTGACATCCTCTTAATAATTAAATATAATATACTATATAAATAAAAATAAGTGCCATTTAATTCCATCTAACTATTTATGAAAAATATAAATTCTAAGCTGTTTTTTTTTAAAACAAATATGAAAATTGTATAATTTTTAAACATAACAATTATTTTGGTGATTGATATTATTACTTTAGTTATAAAAAAATAAAGGAACTTACTCATCAATGATTTCAGATTTGCTCTTTTTTGCTGCGGGTTCTATATCATCAGTTTTGATTGAATCGGAGGTCCTCTTCACAGTTGGGACTTTAATTCTTAGGTCAATGTCATTTTGTTGTTTGATAATAGTGTCTGCAAGAATACCTTTAATTTTCATAAAAGTTCAAATATGTACCTTTGCACTCAGTCTGGTTTAGGAAGTTATAGATATAATAATAACAAATAAAAAATACTCTTCGTAGGTAGTTGATCCCATACATGATTATGTTAGTTAACTGTTGTCATATTAAATTTTAGTGATTATAGTCAGAAACCACATTCTAAAAAATATTCATCCATTCACTTGTTCATTTTTTAATTGCTTATTTCCATTTTTTTTTTTTTTTTTGTTTATAAAAGATTATGAGAATATGTTTATTTTCATAAACTACGATTAACTTAGAGTCAAATACAAAAAATGACATTTGAAGCATTTTATCTAAACCTCAATAATATTTTCTCCAAAAACAATATTTAACAAATTTATAATAAATTTGCAAAAAATAATATTTTACTTTTATAATTTTAACATTTGTTAAACTTATTTCAGTACTTTTTAAATCTCATTTTCAGACATTGGTAGCAATATATTAACTTTAGAATAAAATATAAGTAGCCACTAAGAATGTAAGCCCTCTAAAAAAAATTCACACTTTGATAAAAGTAATAGGTAATATTGTTATTGTCCCACTCAAAATATATACACTATACATTTATTATAAACAATTTACATTTTAAATTACTTATTATTACTTTAAAATACAATGTTTAGAATTTCATCAGTTTGGTTGATTAATTTTAAAATTTAATTCATGTCTGTATGCAGATAAAAAGTATTTAATACCATTAATATACATTTATTGGTAGGTAAAAACATATTTTGTTTGTCGCATATTACAGCCATTAAGCTGTTATATTTAAAAATGTTAGTCTTCGATGCATGAAGAAACGCTATGTCTTAATTTGTATAAATATATATTGTAATAAATAAAGAATAACAATATCCGCCAAAATGTTGGCTGATGGACAATAAAACCATTCATATACAAGATGATAGGACTTTCTGGAAAGGTGAAATTGTTTTCATTTTATTATGGCGAAGAAATGTTTCCAGTTTATTTAAAAATAACAACAAATCACCAACAGATAAATTTATGATAAAATATAATTTATCAGACATTTTAATCTTACTTTGATTGGATTTTACAGCATGGATGTCTGAGTCATTTTTCATTTCTAATGGTGGCAGAGCAGCAGTTGATGGGTCAGGTGATTTCTTCATTGTTTGCATGTAAATACGAAGACGTTTTAAAGAATCAGAATCTTCCAGAGAATCAGTTTTTTCTAATTCAGAAATAATGTTTTCAGAATTGTTCATATCAATTTCATTAATTACTTCAGTAACTAAATTGTCGTCTTTAGAAGCATTTATTTCAATACTTTCATGACTAGGAAGATTAACATCATTTTTAGGTTCATCCTTAAATAACTTTTCTTTAATTTTTGGCAATATTGCCTCTTTTATAGTCACTGTTTCATCTTGATCATTTTTTACACTTGATAATACATTTTTTTTCTTTAAGTCCACTTCTTTAATAATTTTTTTTTCATCTCTTCTTTTGTGATATTTTTCATCTTTTAAGCTTCTTTCTTTGCGGTCAGTTTTTTTATGGGTCTTTCTTGGGAGTTCTTTTTTAGAAGGGGAACAGCTTGGACTTCTTTCTTTTCTTTTTGATGATTCCCTATGTTTACCACTGTCTCTTTTGGGCTTTTCAAGTTTTTTATCATCTTTATTTTTGAGAATTGGTTGTTTAACATCATTGGTAACTGATGGTGATGGCTTTACAGCATTTTCGACTTTTCTTAAACGTGGATCGCGGTTTAGAGTTTGTAATAATTGTGTACTGACTGGGTTGATTTTGGCAATTTGTTGGTTTACATTGAAAAATGGACTGGAAACAACCTGTAATAAGAAATGCATATTTATTTATTTATGATATTTATTTAATAGCTAATTTATAATTACCATGTCTGAATTGTGTTGCTGAGATACAAATGGTTGTGAAGGATTTTTATTAAACTATTGTACTGCAGGCAAAGATGTTGGTTGGAATTTTTTAGAAGGTGAAACAATAACTTTAATTGGCATTGATGGTGACTCAGAACTGACGGAAGATACATCAACCATTTTAACTGAATTCTCAGTTATTCTTCGAGAATTTTCAGATGACTGGATTTTTGCATATATTTCTTCAGTTGAAGTTGAAACACTCACAGTTGAAGATGTACTTGCGTTAAAAGCATTCTATAAATTTTTTTTTTAATTAATAATAGTTTTAAAATGAATATAAAATAAATTTACTTTTGATAGATTTATCTTGTTCATTGATCTTTTTTTTTGAATTTCTATTTGATTTTTGGTTTGCAATAATTCCAGTTCCAATTTTTTTTGCTGTAATTCAAGTAATTCTTTTTGTTTCTTAATGAATTTTTCCCGCAAAGACATATCTTCTTCTATATCGTTGTGTATAATTGGTTGTACAGGTTTCGGTGTCTCAGTATGATTAACCTGAAAAACTAAGACATGTTTACAACTGGGACAATATTATGTTGAACCAGGTTTACATGGTGTACAATTGTATGGATAACTTTCAAGCAGTTATACTTTCAAATTCCGATTAACTGAAATATCAAAATTATCAAATGAGATAAAAATAGCTTTGGATATTTCAGATAATAAAAATTAATTGTAATGCACACCATGTAAACAAGGCAATAAAAATAAAAAATTATTATATACATTATTTAGAAATTTTGGATTAACATGAATGTTTGGTGGAGCAGCACTTAGAGGCCAATTTTTATCAATTGAATGAATCATTACATCAAGTGCATGAAGTTTAGTAGGTGTTACAACATCATTCCACGTAGAGCGCAATTTGTACATATTTCCTCTAGTTTTTTCATCAACCTAAGACAAAAGAGATTATATAGAAAACATTTCACTTAGAAAGTTAATAAAATAAAATATAATATTTACTTTAATGAAAGTGCTAGCAAAAAGTTTCTCGATATTTTGAATGAAAAGTGGTGTATATGGCTGCCCAATGTTTTTCATGACCGAGTCAATTAAGTAAAGTACTGGTAACTTGCTGTCGGCTTGCACCTGAATATAATTAATATTAAACGTAAGTTTAAAAACAAACCTGGATATGGTTTCATCCTTGCGGTCCTCCACACTCCTCCAGAGTATCTTCAAGAATTCTCCATTACGTGCAGATAAAGACAACCACTTTGATCTCAATTAATATAACACTTGTTATTATTAATTTTGATCATATGTTTAAAGATTGTTATAGTTATTGTTTTTCTTTTTTTTGTATATACATTAATATATAACAAAGATAGATTACAATAAACTAAGAACTATAACTACAATATACAGTAATATTATCTTCCTAACTAATTTCAAATAAATTTTAAACACCAAGATTTAGATCATTATATCAATTTAAATAAGGTACCAAAGAAAATGATAAATTAGGAAATATAATTTATGCTACTGTTTTTCATAATTGAATGAATAAATAAAAACAAAAATGAATGTATTTTTTTGATTTTATATATGGCTAATCACAAGCGGGATTACATTAATTGGATAAGCCAAGACGATTTCTTATTATTGTTCAAGCTATATGATTAAAATTGATTAAACCAACTGGCATATCTAGGTCTTCACATGACTTATATTAAGAAAACTCAAGAACTCACTCAAATACAGTAACATTAAAATAAATGTATGTATATATAATAAATACAAATATGACAGTTGAAAATGAATGATATAATTGAAATTCATTGGTTATATCAAACTAACATACTAAACATATTTACGATTGTACTAATATATGTATGGGATAGTTTAACAATGAAGATTTCAATATTAATACTGTTTAATTTATTCAAAGAATAAAATGAAATATACAAATAATATTTGTGTCAATAAGAAGAATATAAATTGTATAAAATTCTTAGGTTTTTAAAATAAAATATAGTTTGATTAATAATACTCCTACTTAATTATTACATTAAAAAATAATATGAGTATTATTTATTGTATTAATAACATTTTTCAAAATAAAATATGATTGTATAGCAAAGTACAAATTTTTGTTTACAGCTTTTTTGGTATAATAGTTTATAGTAAAATAATTATTTTTATTTTAAAAATCAATACACATGATACATATTATATTTAAGACTAAGGGACTTGATATTTATCAAGTATAAAATATAGGTAACAACGATTTTTTTAATGTGATATTTATAAAATTATTTTTAGTTTCATTATAATATTCATAGTTCATGAACATACTCATATTAAGTATAATTAAATTGTTTACTCAGAAACTTTAAATATTTTGATAAAATTGAGTTCTAGGGATTATACAATTTGTATCGTACAAGGAGGAAATACTATAAATTTTATTAACATAATTATGGTTGATACATAAACAGAAGAATTTTTTTGAATTTTTATTTTAATTGAGGTAGGTAATAATAATGTAAATTCATCCTGTAGATAAATTTTTAATTTATATTTGATGATAATTCTTGTATAAATTGTTTGACATAAAAAAAAATTATAAGTTTTAGAAAATATATTTTAACAATATTACAATTTAAAGTAATTGTAAATATTCTGAAGCTTATTAAAACATATTATACTCTTTTAACTAATCATAAGATAAAAATTATTTTTGTATTAGTGCTGAACACAACCTGCCAATACACAAACGATACATATAGATTGGTTTTGTTAAATTACACAATTACAATACAAAATAAATATTGTAGATTACAATGTATACATAGTCATTTATTTTAAAGTAATTAAGTTTTAATTTTTTACATGCACAACATGACCATTTATATACAATAAAGATTGATAAAGTATGTTTCAATTTCAATATTCAGATAAAATAATTCTTCTGACGAACTCAACCAAAAGTAATCGTAACTGTATGTGATATTTAATTTATAGGCAACAACAAATTACTAATATACTTAAGTTATTTTTTTTAAGATATCTGTTAATAATATTTTATAAATAATAACTATAAATTGGATATACTTAATATATACATACATTTCCTACTGTATTAGAAAGAATAAAGTATATTTGTCATATTTAGCAAGACTTGTACAGGTCTTAACCAAAAATTGTTACCGTTAACTATGACCTATAGTAAGTAGTGGCATTTTAATATCTATATTATAAATTAGGTAGTAAAAACTTCCAGAGTTTATTAACCGCATATCTAATATTTACTTCAATGTTAGAATATATTTTGAAAATAAAATTAAGTATTCACTTGATAAAAGTTATATCTATAAGGTAGAATTCATAAATGTTTGGAAGTTACAAAATTCATAATACCCAATAGTTAGGTTTCTTTTACTAATTAAAACATTATTTAGAAATTACAATTTATGTTTTTAATAATGAAAATGGATTAATATTTAAAAAAAAATTTGATGTATGAACACAAAAAAAAACACTTGTTGAAGCAAATTCTAAATAATATTATATAATGTCACATTAAAAAAATTGACATCCAAGGTAAAAATCATTTAAATACTCTGAAACCTATAGCACAACTTTATTTTTCGAACTATCCTATGTATTTATCAGTGACCAATCTGCATTAATTAGTTTTTTTTCGCTGTACCAACCAAATTTCAATATTTGTATTAACTAAACCACTAGCTTCAGGAATACAATTAAACCCATTGATTGAAACACACTGAGGTGTTTAATTTTATCTGCACCAAAAGAATACAATATATCCGCAATCAAAATTAGTTATGATCACTGTTCGATACCTACCTTTATGTTTTATTACTAATTTAAGTAAATAACATAAAGGTTTAACTTCTAATTTTAAATGTTATCATCTCATTCAACCAGATTCACATAAATGACAGATTCATTATTTTCTGTACATCTTTGAAGTGGTTAAACTTGAAGTCTTCTGGAGCTCATGATTATCTCCCAACACGAAGAAGATAAAGCATTTTTTGGAAAAATGTTTATCCTTTCAACTTAATAAAATTTTGTGTTTTTACCAATATGTTACATATTGAGTATAGGTGTCATAGAAGTAAAGAAAATGTTAAAGAAACATTATTAATCAAATTTTAGATTTTATTTACACTTTCAAATAAATTATATTAAATACAACACTAGTATTATAATTTTGTTTCATTTACAATACACGTTTGCTAATACACCTATTATTTTAAAAGTAAACCATTTATTTTCATATTCTTATTGAGCTTTTCAAAAAATACTTGCCAAATATTAAATAAAAAGAAAAAAAGAAAAAAAAAGAGGACCAAAAAGGACGTAAACCATATTTAGTCACATCATATATTTTTATTTCATGTTGTTTAAATATTGTAAATATTCACATATATTTGTACTTTAACTAAATATATGTCATCATAGCCAGAGGGATTTCAGCACTGTCATTATCCAAAATACGCCATGTATGCAATCAGTATTCATTAATGTAGATATTAGATATACTACTACAAGTAAAAATTTCCAGTAACATTACATTAAAATTATATTAGGTAGGATCAATATATTTAAAAGCAAACAATTTGGGTTCACAATGTGGTGAATATCCCTCTGTTATGACATTAAAATATTCATTACTATTATAAAGTTTAAAAACCTTATGCAGTTGTCTTTCAATACACTGTACAATGATTGGCGCATAAGCTGAGTTCTCTTCAGCCAGCATTGTCAACATGTTTATCAAAGGCTTGCTATTGATGTTGAGGTCGGCTAACGCATTACAATATTCTTCTGCTACTTCTTTTTCCTTGGCAGTCATTGTAGATTTTGTTTAGTTCAGATGTCAAGTTTCAATACTTCCACCACTAAAACATAAATATATAATATATACATTAGCCGTTATCTCAAAAGTAATAAACATAAAAATTGGGAGTTAGACAACCTATTTATGTAGTTCTCAATTTTAAATCATTTGATAAATAACACAACCTACAAAGGTAATAAAATAAAATGTAATAAGTAATAACGCATACCTAATGAAAAACCCAAATTAATTTTGCTCAGTTTAAAACAACAGCTCAATAGTTACATAAACAGTAATTGATTTTCGCTTTTGCGTTATTGACATGCGAGTAAATAATAGTAAATTTGTCGAGCAATTAATAATAATGTTCAAGATACTTTGTTTATAAGACATATTCTATACATATTTATTACAAAATAATCAACAGATTATGACATAGATATAGAGTAAATATATAAAATTGATTTTACATGTTTTCATGTTTTAAATTACGATTAGGTACTTACTTAAATATTTTAATGAGAGTAACAGGTAAATATCATTATTTAAACACAATATATATTAATACAAAGAAACTCTATTGCAGATGTCAAACTGTATAGATATCAAATATATTTATTGTTGTGTATATCAACAACAGAACCAGATATAAAGAGATTCTATGGATAAGGAATTTAACGATAAATGTATGGTTATTATTTTAAATCTCAGAAGCATATAATATAATAGCAATACAGGTAAATATTAAATACCTATTGGGATGTTGATGATTTATTTTTTTAATATCAGTACCTACCATTTGTAAACTGACTTATAATATAAGTAATTGGAGTTACTTTAATTTAATATTTATTCAATTATTTAGATTAGTTATTGAGTTTGATATTTTATAATAGAATACATTAATACATACAATTTTATCATGAGATAATACTTTATTTTTCTGTTATTCAATAAAATGAACATATTTCATGGAAACTAAATTGTTCAACGGCCATACCAGATGATTATATTTTAAATAACTCATTATCTCAGTCGAAAAAAAATGTTTAAATATAATTTTTCCACACTTAATAACTGACCTCTCCCGACCGATCAAAATGTCCGTTACCTAGATCGCCAACTCACGTGAGCTATGCACATATGAAACAAGCGACTAGTACTCAATATCATCAAAGACAGCTTCGCCTCCTCCTTGTCACAACATGTCCAACATGTTCAAACATGTCACTCTACATAATAAAATCCTTATGTATAAGATACTCCTCAAACCTATCTGGTCCTATTAAATCCAATTCTAGAGATCAGTCAAAGACTCTAACATAAACCGAATCCAAACATTTCGACTTAAATGCCTCCAGCAAATAACAAAAGGTTCTTTTTATGCATCAAATGATACTATTCACAGAGACCTCCTTATTCTGACAGTTTAAAACGTTGCTAAGACCCTTTATAAACGTTTCCACCTTAAATTTTCAAATCACCGAAACCCTCTCATCCAAAACCTATCTTTTTGAACAATTCTGGGCGACCCTGCCCTGGCCGACGTTTAAAGCATAGCTGGGTGACGTGACCTACTAATCAACTAACTACTACTATCCCGCCATGAAGTGTTATTAACTTCTTCAATCAAGTCAATCATGACCGATGACGTATTATGTATCCCTTCATTGTGCTTATTGTAAATATTTTTATACAGATTTCACAAATTAAATAAATATGTCAAAAAAAAAAAATAGATATAAATATATAATTTTAAGTAATATGAACACCAGATATTACATTACCTACAGTTAAAGAAAATTATTAAAAACAATTTTTAGCGATAGTTTATATATTGAATTTCATGTTTTGGTACACAATACATTTCTAAAACTGTTTATATCTTTGAATAAAAATATACTGAATTCAATTGATACATAAATAAATATTTAATGAACCTACAGTACCCAAAGAAAAATAATTTTGTTTCACTTTGCATAAAACTATTTATTAGATTGTCAAAATCAAATAGAAAAATATATTGAAAACATTCTATAGGTTATATCTAGATTTTAATTTATAAGAAAATATTAATAAAATTAAAAACACTTAGGTAATTAGGCATACTTTTGTCTTTTCTACAAGTCACAAATTGTACAGTTCTTACAGCAGAAATTATTTTTTTACATTATTCTAATTAAGTTTCACCAATTTATATCAGTAAAAATTAAAAATACCACAGAATAAATAAATTGTAACTAATTTGGGGTTTATATCACATATTAATTTTCATTATTCATGCAATTGTTGAGTTTGTGAAATTATTTAATTTCAAAACATATATCAGAAAAAAAAATTTACTGTAATATATAAGAAAGACATAATTCAAAATAAATATGATGCTCAAAAATTAAGGTGTTTGAAATATTTCTGAAATCTTGATTACTAGCCATTAGTTGACATAACTAAGACTTTACCATTGAAGGCAAATTATTTTTAATAAATAGATTTATATGCCATAAAAAATGAAATTGTACCTAGATTTAAATAAAAATACAACTTATCTAATTTTCTTTAAATACCAATTAATTTTACCTAACTAGTACCTAATAGGTTTTAAAAATTTAATAATAGCATTTTTGTTTCAATTTGCATTTGCGTATTAACCTCGGACTTTGATTATTTCTGGTTGCCATGATACCCTATTCTGTGGATGATTGGGAGTTTACTGCAATAATTTAAAATATGAATCGCTAGTAAAAAAAATAGGTTAGGATAATACCAATATTGAAGTCAACAATTTCTTTAAAAATAATAGATACCTACTATTTATATATTTACTAGAAACCATTAGGTAAATACAAGGCAGTGTAACTCTGTGTCGTACAATATTGTTAATCACAGTTATGATTTGAATTGATAAATAGGTAATAGTGTCACAATATTAATATTATAGTAAAGACAATGATTTTAGTTTGTAGTAAAAATTAAAAATTTTAAGTATAACAATTACTATAAATAAGTGTCATTTATTGGTATTGATAAAATCACCTATGTATTATTAATTATTATTTACCTACTTAATAGGTGTAAGTTATAATTGTGTTAGATAGTCTGTCAGGCAATTGACTAAAAGAATATTTATTAAGAATTAATCACTGTTCTAGAAATGTAAGATGTTTTAATGTATCAGATATCAGGTTTTTTGATATAAGTTCATAGAGCTAACAAAATAACAAATTAGATATCTGAAAAAAAATTATATTGGCCTAGCTCTACAGAATATTTCAAGATACCTACCTAATACATTATAATAAACACAATATATTATTTGATTGAAACTTACATAAATAAGATCAAACCAATGGAATCGATTTAAATTACCTAAATAAAAATTGAACCAAGAATAAAAAGTGTTAGTTTTCAAAGCAAATGTTATTTACAAGTATTGAAAAAAAGTAAAATTTAGTTTGAGCTCAATAAAGTATAATGATTAATTTCTTTAAATAAATATTTTAATAATTTTAGCTATACCAATTTAGTTAGAACAATGTTTTCCCTGGCATAATATTATGTAATTATTAAGTGATAATAAAACCACGAAAAGTACATTCAAATATCTATAAAAAAAAGCTGAATTATAATATCTAAGCTAGGGAAAATTATGGGTACAGTAAATTAAATAAATATAAGGTAGGTACCTTAAAAAATATGTTGAATTATTTTTATTTTCATGCATACACATAAATAATAACCTACCAACATTAATAAATTTTCAAAAAAAATTGTTTACTTCAATATAAATGACAATAAATTATAAAATATCTCTAATACATGGTCCATATTATGCTGAGGAATCTTTAACTACCTAAAAATAGTTAATCTTGAAAGATACGATTCTGTGGTTAGGTTTAAGGATATACATTTGTAGATTGTGCATTAACTCATATGGTTAAGGGATCCTCTATGATTAAAGAAAACGCATAATGCTTAGAATATTGATTATATGGTTGTCGACATTTCAGCAAAAAGAATAACTATTCAATAAAATTACTTAAACCGAGGAGACAACAGATGGTGACTTTTAATATGGTTTCAATAATTTAACCTAATTAAACTTCTTCATGAAAAAGAGTAAGTAAAGAAAATAAATAAAAATCAAACATAATTAAGTATATAAAGACTAACTACACAGTTGAAAAATTTAGCCTTATCTCTTAAATGCTCGCGCGATCGTGTACGTTGGATGTTTCGACATTCGGCAAAAACGTACAACAAAAGACGGCATTAACGAGCTAATGGCCGTAGAAACTGGCTTATTTTTCGTAAAAGCAGTCGGAAAACATGCGGAACAACGGTATTCTACATAAGGAACCTCGGCGAGGTCGAGGATGAAATAAATACGGCACACACATCATGGCCGCTGCACATAAGCTGTTTTCTGATGATGACAAAGTCCAGTACCCAAAATATTAGCATTTGGGATACTAAATGTTTTACCATATGTTGTCGAACACGCGGAAATGTAATAATAATTATGAATCCACTCACCGGAATGCGATGACACGGCGATCGGGTGATGTGCCGTGGGTCCGCCAGGTCTTTGAAGTTTGAACGTGTCAGTGGTTGTGGCGATTGCCTCTCATATCCAACGCCTGCTGCTCGAAAGGGTAGGAGACGAAACAATAAGTTACAACTATAATATGTGAATAATATATTCAATGTAACGATTAGTTAACTTGAACATAAAATTTTTGACGAGTCGTGCAACGTTATTACGCCGAGCGCATCTGCCCGAATTGCGAAGCAGAATGATTCAATAATCGTATAGATGAATAAATTGCACAAGATGGCGGACGCCCGACAATCTAACGTACACACTCACGCACGCGCACATTTGCATACTTTTTTCCATTGAGTAGGATGCACTGAACTCTAGAGAACCGATCCCATCCCATCTGTTCGAGGAGTCCTGAAGTGTTACCAACCTTCCGGCCCACATTATCCACTGTCCCGTCCTAAACATAATACAATGCTAAATACCGTAATGTGTGATTGGGATTTCGAAATTCGACTTTCAATTGTAGGACATGATGGTCATGATGGTGGTTAGGGGCCAAAAACGAAACATAATCCCCCAAAAAAAATTGCTGTACACCGTGATAGAATATAACATGTTTGGCTGTTAATAAATATTAATATAATATATAATATTATAAAGTAATATTATGTTTATTGTTTTAATGCCCATGTGTATATAGTTGGGTCGGTCGCGTTTGCGTGGGAGTTTACAAGCGATAACGCATTATTGTCATGTTCGCTTTTTATCAATTTACGTGTTCTTATCAACACGTAGTTAATGATTATTATTGTTATAAGATTAAATGTATATATATATATATTTTATATATGATAATACCTGTATAAATATTACGCATTTACGTGAATATGAGCACATACACACGCCCGCACGAACATCATAAACGCACACATAATAAATTATATATTCATGTAATAATAAAAAAAAACCATTTACCTATTTTACCTACAATTTCCATTGTTTGAACCATGTTTATGACTAATTAGTGATACCGTTGTTCCTATTTCCGTTTTACGTATTACGTTACGTTAACGTGCACTAGAATACTCGATACGATGATCAAACAAGAGTAATAAACTTCACGATTCTCAGAAATCCCATAATGTAAATATCTGATGTTTGCTATATAATTGTAGATCGAACGGAATGTTTGGTGTCTCTCATTGAAGTAAAAAACTATTAATAATAATTTATTATATTTTCTTAGTTCATTAGTATTTTGTGAAATGGAAGACTATAAATTCTTATTTAAAGTAGTACTTGTTGGTAATGCTGGTGTCGGCAAAACTTGTTTGGTCCGTCGATTTACGCAGGTATGTATGCTCTATTGAAATGATTATAGCATTTTGACAACATTATAATTACATTCATCTCGTATTTCAGTCAACTTGTTTTATTCTTTGTTGAAATTTAAAGCTATTGTTTACCTGTTATTTGTTTCTACTATATAAGCTTAAATTTCTGATTAAAGAACTTTAAATTAAAACCAAAAAATCGAGAGCAATTTATGGTGTTGAATAATCACCTTATAATTTAAAATAATTACTCTTAACATTCATTTCTAAAGATGGAACACAATCTTAAATAAGTCAAATATTCTATTGTTTCAGTTGATTTAAAATATTACTTATACAATTATTCTGTTTCTAATTTCTAATTTTCATCCATATTTTATTGTCAAAAATGTTTTGATTAAAACCAAACTGGATATATTAAAATGTGTGATGTTATCTGTTTATGTTTAGGGAATGTTCCCTCCGGGTCAAGGTGCAACAATAGGAGTGGATTTTATGATAAAAACAATTGAAATAGACAATGAAAAAGTCAAAGTAATTTATTAGTATATTCTACATAGTTATGGATTTAATACATTTATCACAACTATATAATTTGTATGTGTGCCTTTTGTAAATTGTGTATTTATGTTATATAATAAGAGACTTATAACTAAGAAAAAAATTGATTTATTTAAACATAGTGAACTTAGGAAGTATTGTACCCAAATTAACCTTATATTAACCTATCTTAATTATTAAAATTGCTCAATGCACTTAACACAGTTAGTATAAGTGTGATATGCTGTCTACCAAAAATGATTGATCATGTTGTATGATATCTGCACACCTTAACAATCCCGTTTGTGGCATCAAAAGTGTTGAGTTTGATTTCATTTACCAGTTAGATCTCATTTGGACTATTCTTAGGTTAGGCCAAGTTATTTTCACTTCACTACCACACATTGCTTACTCACAATGCTGTATCAGCAGTAACATAGTAATAACTCAAAAGTAAATTTAACATAAGTTTGATTATTACAATTACTTTAATATAATAAATCTATATAACTTATTTCGAACAAATATCCATTATATTACCCAACCTAACGAGCAACAGCAAATATATATTATGCATACGTTTATCATTATCAAGGACTGAGCATAAACTAATTGATAATGCAATGATAATAATTTATGAATGTATTAAAATAGTATAGAAAAATGTATAGAGTATAATATATATGGCATGCAAAGTTGATAGATCACATAATATGACATGTGTACTTTTCGCTTTAAGCTATTAAATAATATATATAATTGTTTTTTCTAATAAGTATTCTTAATACTAGAAAAATACCAACCGTCCAAACAGAATAACTATTTCACTCTTTTAATATAAAAATATATGAGATTGAAATAAATTAAAACTTTATAGGAAACTTGTTGATTTCTAATATTACTACTTAATGACTCATAGAGTCTTACCTGTTAGTGTGACAAACAATTATTTTTATTTTTTAATTAATATAAGGAGTATTTACAATAAAGTACTATAGCTTTATCAAAGATGACCTTCATGTCTTGTTTGCTACAAAAGGCTAAATTTATGTTTTGATGTTCATAAAAAAGCATTGAAGTTAGTTACATGATAATTTAAAATGCTTATTTCTTTTTACATAGGAGGACGGAATAAAAAATATTGGGTAATTTTATTCATATAATATGATAAATATACATTTTTTGTCATACATTTCTAAAACCCAATGACCAATTTATACAATTAGACATAAGTAGACAATTTTTTATTAATACTAATCCAAAAAATACACATAATTTGTATTAATTAAACTGCTTAAATTATTGTGCAGGAAATAGAACTATGGTAATTGATAAACCTGCAGTTTTTTTATATTTTATATGTGGTTTACATCCAGAATCTGCTCAAAATGAATGAGATCATGGCCTAATTATAATTTATTACACCTATATATATGCTATTTTTTTTTATTAGCTCCAAATTTGGGACACTGCAGGACAAGAAAGATTCCGTTCAATTACTCAAAGTTATTACCGATCTGCACATGCTTTAATATTAATTTATGATATAACATCCCAGCCAACATTTGATTGCCTTAATGATTGGCTTCGCGAGATTGATGAATATGCAAATAACAGAGTACTAAGGGTTTTAGTTGGTAAATATTACATTTTTTCTAAATGATTAATGAACTATATTTTAAGTTTAATTTTATACTTTAATATACTAGGTAACAAAATTCAATTAGTAGGAGATGATTTATTCGTAACTAATACCAATATACTAGGTAACAAAATAGACAAAGAAGACCGTGAAATTCCTTCTCATGTGGGTCAAGATTTTGCTCAAAGACATGATATGCGCTATTTAGAAACATCAGCAAAACAAGCAGACAATGTAGAAAAATTATTTGTTCAAATTGCTTCAGAATTAATGGAGGTAAAAAATATATTATGTACATCCTTTAATATCATTAATATACTTCTTAACTGCTAAAAGTAATAATGTGAATATTTTGCCATATTAAAACATTAATTAGTTTAATATAATTTATTGAGTAAATTATTGTAATATACTAATAACTATAAAATAAAATGTATAACTTTTATGTATTTAAAACTTAACTAAAATTATGTATAATATTTAATAATTATTATGATTCTTTACTATTTCAGTCTTAGTGGAATTAGAATACTAATACTGTATCTGTAGCAGTTCCTTTGATATTCCCTGTTAAAACTGCATATGCTTATAATTCTGACATTCGATAAACTAAAAAATAAATTGAAATGCAACAATTTACAAACCACATTAGTGAATTTTAATTATTATATGGCAATAACTAATAAGTATACAAACATATTATCTATGACATATGCAAAGGAATTTTAGTAGGTATCCAATAAAGTAAACAAAATATATCATTGTAAAACCTATACCTGACATATCTTAGATTCTTATGTGATCCGTGACAATTAAAATCAAAGGATATTATAAACAATTCTGAATCCATTCATCCTTCAATACTTCTTTTAGTACCATCTTGATTTTCAAATTCTAATATGGTTGTGACAAATTATCAAAAGGTATGAGAAAAGAGTATATTATATAATTTAATTATGAGGAAAAATTTGTATATTATAATAATTCATCAAAATATGAGTATGCTTAAAATGTAATGGCAGTGTCAAATTAATAAACAATTCTTAAATACTTAAATTAATCAACAAGTCAATAGTTAATACATTTTTGACGGGCCCATTCAATTTAATTAAGTACAAACCATTTGTAAGGATGACTTATTAGTTCTACGTTCAGCCTTGAGTTATGTTTATTATATTGCATTTAAACAAACATTTGCATTTTTGTTTATAGTGTGTACATGATGCACATGGTTTAAAATGTCAATAAATTATATGTATATGATACCAAAATCAAACACCTAATTATATTTTGTTGATTATTGCATATCAGTTCATTAAGTAAAATAATGTGTGTCCTTTGATATAAGAATCACCTCTACAGTATTTTTATATTAGTTTTTCATGTCTAGTGAGTACGATTAGTGAATATTACAACTTAAAAATAAATAGGAAAGTAGGTAATTCTCTGCTGTACATTAGATTTTTTGATTTTCTCCTACAATAACTTATGATAAACTTTGTATTACATTTTCAAGTTTTTTGACCAAGCATACATTTTTCATCTACACACATTTTAGAAAAAATCTAATAAAAATTGAAAATTTCAAATGCCTATTACATGAGTCAAAATATTTTGAAAATTGATGTATAGAAAATGCTAATATAAAAATTCAATGAATATTAAATGTATTCATTAAATGTATTTACAATAACTTTTTTAGAGTTGCACTAAAAACTAAAAATTGATTTTATCAAATACAAATTTTGAGTAAAAATTCCGTACTTCCGTAATGTTTTTTTATTTTTTCCAGCCCTTTTGAAAACTTTTGGGAATTTTAAATTTTTACCTCCAAATGGGACCAGCTAAATTCACTTTCCCACCTTAAAAGACTTAGTTTAAAATTAAAACATTTATCACTTTGTTCTTAATCTTAAATTTATTGCTCAACTTAATTATATAATGAAATGATTTATTTTATTGTTTAATTATTTTAATTTTTAATTTTTCTATAGCAAGCTAAATCCAAAGGAATATCATCAGACAGTCCACAGTCTCTACCATTCAACACAAGAACTTCTAAATCCATTAATGATTACTGTTGTAATCGTTGAAAACTTAATTATCAGTATTATTTTATTATTGTCATTGATATTTAACTGAGCTTATCACAGGGTAAATTGTAATCAAACTAATACTTTACCTAAAATCAATCCAATAATAATGTTTTTAACAAAAAAGAGTTACCTGACAGTAACACGATGAGCAAAAATAATTAGTATTATAGTTTTAGTTCTAACATCAATTGTTTTCTTTGTTAATTTTTTTATGTTTCATGGTTGTACAACAAAGTGTTGGCGCACAAATAAAATGTGTTGTATGTACATCCAAATAAATGTGCTCAAATCTATGATCATCAATTTTAATTTAACCTGACAACACTATTAATCAGTATTTTGATCAAAATTAATTGTGTTTTGTTTACAACTAAGGTGTATCAAAATAACAATATTACAAGTATTATATAACCATGTTTCATAGTATCGATAAAAAATTCTACTAGAAATTGTTTGTTTTCAATGTTTTATGTAATTTATTGTTTATTTTCACTTTTAACACTTAGTTTAAAAGTGTTTGAATAAAGTGTTTACCTTTTAATTGAATTTAATCGTTGTTATTAAATAAACAAATGACCCTGTATAATGTACTACAAAAGCGGAAATTATTATAATATTTTTTTTCAACATGATTTAAAAATGTTAACTATGATTTTTTGTTTTGTTATATTGTATTTTAGCTATAAAGAAGTAACTTAATTTAAAATTACTACCAGGAACAAAAGCGTTGTGTTTATTTTATACTTATTTATTTATATATGTACATATATATTTTTTTTTACAAAATATTTAGTGCAATACTTTTGATTATACTATTAAGATATAATAATTATAAGTAGAGGGATATTAGGATTTGTAGCACAATAATTTTTTTTTATATTTGGTATTGTTAATTTGCTGTTATTATTATTTAATGTTTTATATTAATAACTGTGTTTAAAAATAACCTTGTTTTTATCTTCTTATTTTGTACATTATTTTAAATGTTATAAGTATTATGTATTATAAATTATTTGTTATCTTATTAATTTTCTCTACTTATTCATTATTCTTCTAAAATGAATTGTTTATATAATTAACTTAAGGATAATAATATTGTGTCACCATTTTCATTTGGAAATATATTTACAATATACAATACATTACTTTAGTGTTCAAGTACTTACATTTATATTACAGGTTATAAAATGCTTTACTAAATATTTTAAGTCATACATAACAAATTTGAACACCAACTAAAAATAAAAACTATAAGTTATAGTTTTTACTGATAAATAATAAAATTAACTTGTTTAATGACCAACAAACATCATTAACAATGGTTTTGATTGTTAATTGTTATGAATGTTGATTTCATTTTGGCATTTGTTTATAGTTTTTATGTAAATAAATAATTTTTAAAAAGTTAAAATTCTACCTAATAAATTACAGTTCTAACACTATTGTATTGTTTTTTCAAGATTAATACACAGGTGTTTTTTTTTTTAAACCAAACCAAAAAATAATTTTTGGTAGCAGTGTTCTTAGCCACCTCTAGAACTTAGGATCTAGATAATGCTAAATAGCAATCACACAAATAATATTACATATAAATTATTATGAATACTCTACATCCATATGTATACTTGAAATATATTGGACACAATTTACATTTCTCCGTAATATAAATTATTATTACTGTATAATCAATAAACCTTGCTTATTATCAACCCATGACTAAAGAAACTTACTAAAGTTTATTTAGTCATGTATCAAACTAACCAGTAAGTGTGTGCGGAGTGCAGATTAATGGCATCATGAGATGATTTCCAGCCAATTTTTCAATAATACTAAAGTTTATAAGGTAGTCCTTTGGGTAAACATTTTTGAAATAGGGCAAGCAAATTCACATTAATTAAATGCTAGTTGAATAAAATTTAAGATATTTTATTTTTAATTCTGCTATTGTGCCAATTAAAGGACTATTGAAGGGAAATAATTAAATAACCCCATATAAATCCAATATTATGATTAAAAGTGTGGAACGTATCTATAAATTTTCTAAAAAATATATAAAATTATTTTTTATTATTTTTAATTGCTTATACTATAATATAATGAAGAGGAAAGATTTGATTGTTTGTTTTTATTGAATAGGCTCCAAAACTACTGAATCAATTTAAATGAAATTTGGTACATAGATAGTTTAGAGTCTAAACTTTAGACACTGAGAAAAAACAGGTTACTTTTTAATACTAAAAAATAGCCATTAAGGGTTGAAATAGGGGATGATATAAATATATACATTTTATTGTATAATAATAATAATAGTAATACGCACCACTATGGTTACCAAACATTAGTATCAATATAACTTTTAAACAATAAAATACATATAATTGACTTAAAAAAACAGAGCATTGCAATAATATTAGAAGTTTTAGTAAGTTTTGATGGGATATTTGTGTTTTTAAAAATGCCAGCAATTAGACACGCAAATTTAAATCGGGGAACTCTCAATGCTACAAGTCAAAGATATACAATATCAAGTAAAACACACAATTTGACTGACGAAAAGATCAGGTTGCATGTTACTGGAAACTCACGGGCTGCCGTGTCATACAATAAGTGTATAAACATGTACAACGTTCACGTTTATTTTAATTAATAACTCATTTTATTAATTGTTTAGTGGAAATTAGTATGTTTTTTTATTTTTTGGTTGCCAATGGTTAATCGAGCAGAACAGGTTTAAGCATGCATCAAATTGAATCTTTGCATATTGCCTTCCAAGGAGGCTGAGTTGCACTTATAGCCACTCATCGGAGTGTCCACAATCAAGATAAAATATAAAATAAAACCTGTTATTAATATAATCATATAGATAGTAATATAGTATCCTAACCACAGGTGGTTTTCCTACCTGATAATATAATGCTCGCATTATTACCATCAAGTCTCTTATATAGAGTTAGCATTTTTAACGAGCGACAAAGTTCACGGGATCAGCTAGTAATATATATAATTTTAAGAAGATAAATTTTACTGTAGTTTGCAGCACATCATTATTCAATATTTAGTAGTCAGGGATCGCCTAAAAAAAAGTTCAGAGTCATGATAATATTATGTACTATCCCGGTGCACTCCTATTATGATCACCAGTCATTACTATATATGCAACCAGCAACCATGCGTGACTCGTTATAAATCCACTCTGTTTATAATACTTCAATTTTCAATGAGAAATTATATAGCTGATGATCTAACCATTCCTAATTCTAATATATTTTTTAGTTTTAGATTCTGAGCTGAGTAAAGAAAGGATTGATTTAAGATTTATTTGTTTTTTTTTTTTATTGATAACAATAAGTAGTTGGAATAATGATTTGATTTTCAACTTCAGTAACATTTCTGGTGGGAAAGTATATCTAGTTAGTCAAAATTGAAAATTTCCAATTATTTAGAAGAATGTCAGGAAAACCGAAATAAATAATGAAGGAAAAACAGAAATTTTTATGCAAAATTAGACTATATTTGACAAAATTAAGAACATTTATACATTATTGACATACAACAGTATGACACCATCACCTCTAATCATTAGCATGCTCTTGATGACAAGGTACACTCAATACCTACTGTTATCTACTTCCTCGGAGAAAGTTTCCTACTTTTAAAGAATTAAATTGTATAATAATAAATAGGGAGTTCCTCAAAAATTCAATAGTAAATTTAAATATAAATTAAAGCTAAAAATAAAAATAAATAAAATTTAAATATAAACCATTATCTCACTGCTAAACAAACAGATATTTTTAATTTATTAATTATTATTTTACTAGAACATTCAGTTTTTTAACATATAAATACAATTATTGATAACTAAATCAGTCTTTAATGATATTGAATGAGGAATAACTTTTAGAATTTAAAACGTCAAATTAAAAATTAATTAAAAAACTAATCATTCATTTACTTTTAAAAAATGTTTTATCATAACCATAGATGTATCATAAAGTTTCTTTTGTGTCTCTTCATCATCAGCGTATGGTAAGTATTTTGCAGATTGACAATTTGCATAATAACCACCACATCCTTCTAATTTTGGAGAAATGCAAGCATAAGCAACACTCCTTGACCCTTCTTCTGGAGTCTGAAATTAAAAATATGTATATAAATATATTGCAGACAACAANAATCCAGTTTTTATCATAAACTAATGTAAATTACAACAGTACAGTTACAAAAAAATGGGAATGCTAGAGGGTGCTATAGAACCCCTATGTTTCAAACTACTTAAATATTTGTTAATTATAGGATATTATGTGTGATACACTAAAAATGTTTTATCACTTATTCATGATTTTGTCTCTAGTAGTATATTTGTTTCTCTCCGTTATCCTTCATAGTCGATGTAAACATTTTGTAAGCAAATAGAATATATTTAAATAAAAAAAAAGTTGTGATCTATGAACTAAAATAATTCAATTATAAGTTTACCATTATTTACAAGTATATGAATTTGATCATGATTGGATAATACTTTTTCAGCAAAACTTTTTACTGAGGTAAATGATTTAAGATCAAGTTCATATATTTCAATGGATGCGTCTGACGAAATATGCTGTTGGATTGTTTTTTGACCTGCCTTCACATTGCGGCATCCTAGTAAATAAAAATACATTAAAAATAAGAAAATGTTTACACATATTAATTTATTATTAAACATAATATACCTACTAACACTAAATAAATATTTAATAGCAAATAAAGATTACCAATTACGATATGCATCTCACATTGAACTAGTTTCTTCACTACTTCCAGGCCAATACCTCTAGCTCCTCCAGTAATAACGGCAACTTTTCCTTGTTTGTTGATAATTTCTAAATATCTTTTAAAATTAAAAAAAAAAAAATTACAATAGGTACCAGGGCCGCCCCTAGGGTAGGGTGAATGGGGCTCCGAGCTTTCACCATAGTTGGACAGGTCCCACTATTATAGATACAGTAAAAAATCAAATTGATAAGCAAAAAATGTTGAATTTAATCAAATAATAAATGAGTTATAGATAAGGTGTACGTTTTTCCTGTAGTCATTTTTGTTGATATAATACTCATAGGCTTAGAATGGTGGGACTTGAGAATTGTCAAGCTTTTCGGCCAGTGTTATCGATACTGTAAAAAAAAAAGCCATATCCCACCCACACAATTAGGCTTACGTCTTATATGACTAGGCCTATGATTACATCCTATAACCTAAAACCTATTTTCAACTTCAGTAACATTTCTGGTGGGAAAGTANAATTTCTAAATTATAAAAATTAATAAATATAAATATATACATAGTATAATTTTAATAACTTCACAATTGCATCAAATACTCTAAATGTATTAATTAAAATAAAATATTTTATAGTCTTACCAAACTTATTTTTATCACGATTTTTTAAATCATCAAGAACGGCGAAAATTCCCAAAAAATAATAACATATTTGGTATTGTATTATTTTAAAATATGTCGACAGAATTTGAAACATTTTAATTTTTTTATTGTGCTTTAATAGACTCAAATTGTAATCAATGGTGAATGGTCTCTAATTATAAGTTTCTGTCACTCGGAATACACCATAGACAAAGAAAATAATGTTTTTAATAGTTATTAATTATATCATAATAGTTTACAAGTTTTATCCCTTGAATACAAAAACTTTCTCTTTTCACCGGAGAAATTCATTCGTATAATTTTAACCATAGAAGTCAAAAAATCAGTGCAGGAACCCTTTACTGTAATGCAGAGAGTAAGAATTCTAATACAGTGTAGTATGAAACTGTAAAAGTAATTTCTAATCAATAATCATGTATCTGTAAATATAGAATTTGGACAAATGACGGTAGGGAGTATGGCCCTATTCAGATAGGTCAAATATGCTGAACGGCATAATTGTACATACAGAGCGATTCACCGAGCATGCTCACATCCTTTCCATGCATAATATTCAAATTCTGTTTTTTGAAATTTTTATGAGTGGCATTAAGATCATTCAACTTCTTGGATTTCGTATACAATTTAAGCAATTTAAGGAGTGCCTTATGGCAGTACAAAATTCTTTAATTTGAAACAGCATTTTATGACGAGAATTATGGTCGTTTTCATTTAGAAAAAAGTTGTTTTCTTAACAGAAATACAAAATACCAAAATATCCTAAATTTGCATAAGCAATCTAGAGCTTGGACAATTAATAGGCATTTAAGAAGGTATTTTTGAAAGTATATTCCAAAAGTTTGTGCACACAACAAATAACAATATAGTTTGTGTAACGTAATATTTAAAATTTAAAATCAAATAAATTCTTAATGTTAAATGAATCATTCTGTATGTGCAATAAAATATATTATGCAAATTATTTCGCACAGTTGGCTACGCTAAACAATACGACAACACTTGCAACAACTACTACTACCACAATCCGTAGAAAGGTTAAGCCACAATCAACTACACTGTATTTTGCCACAGAATAGCTGCTGATAATACGACTGCTATTATTTACTATTTTGATTTTAGTTCCTGATGGATCAGAATTGAACATTTGAGAACCGCTCAACAGCTGTTTGGTACTTTGATCATCTGTTTGTACCTTTCTCTCTTTTGTTGTTGTTTCATTTCATTATAACCAAAATTTGATCATCCTTTGTTTGAAAAAGATTTTCTTTAAAACAGAACACCGCTCGCCGCTCCGACGAGCGAGTTACGTTGAATAAAAAATTGTGATCAATATTTCTGTCAACCGTTCATCGTACGATCTTGATCTCGGCAGCGTCCTCAAAAGGAACTGAGGGTGTCGTTGAATCCGGCTACTTATACTCACCGGTACAACTATTTAAGACAAACGGCTCTGTAGGAACGAATTTCAAAACTCGTCAAAAATGTTTGTGTCTTGCAAATGTCTGAACATCCAAATTGAAACCAAAGACGAGCCGATCAAATTTGATAAACGTTTGTTGGGCGGTGGTTTCTTTTCAAAGGTAAAAATCGACTTTTGCCTTTTTTCGAATTTAGTTTACCCGTTGTAGCTGCAACTTTAGTATTTTTCTTTTAGGAGTTGCTGTGCTGCGAAGTGATTGCTGTCACCAAGCGCCAGGACTGTTTAATTCTTGAAGAAAGAGCCTTTGGGTGGTTAATATACAAATGTCTCAACTGTGATATGCTGTGTTATGCTGTATCTTCGGATAAAAACATACTAACAGTTTTGATTAGTCCTGAATTATTGGTAAGATTAATTAACAAATAGGTTAAATTAATTGTGGTTTGCTATTTAAATTTTCGTCTTAATAACAAGATGAACATTTTTGAATGAAATCAATTTTATGTTGATGTTATAGAAATAATATATTGTCGCATTAGTATGATATTATCATTTTACTGTGTAATTTATAAAACATGACTCATAATTTTATTAAATTATTGAAACATGTATTTTATAATGATGATAAATTAACTCTATCTATCTATGTTTAGGTACTTTAAGATTTTTAGTACAGCATGCTTTATAATTTTTACTGGGTCTAAAAATAATTTTTAAAAAATATTATCCATAATTTATTTAGGCTGAAAATGTAATTATATTGCTAGTTTTAAAAACCAAATATTCTCTACTTTTAAAAAAAAATCTTAAAAAATGAAGATAGCCAGAGTAGGTACCCAGTTTTTGAGATCTTACCCTTTTTTGGTAAGCTAGTTCTTTCAAATCTTTATTTTACTGTATATTTATTTTAATTTAATTTGTATGACATCTGCTATACCAGTAGCTCTCTCATCACCTCTATCATTCGTTCAAAGTATACATTTAACTTTTACTTAACCAATGATTGACTTTTAATATTATACCTCATAAAAATGTACAACTTAATATATTTTATTATCATTCATAAAATTAAACTGAAAATAGTAAATACCATTCAATATTTATTTGTATTAATTACAAGATTAACGTTGATATTCTCCCATTAGAAAGATTCTTCAGTTCCATTTGAACTATGAGTACTAATATGTGTATTCAATTCACTTATTGATAAATTAACAGATAGTGTATATTACGACATAATCTTCTATTTAACTTAATAATATTTGGATTGCTAATAAATAAAATTATTTTTATCCCTTGTACACTACACTAATTTTTCTACATAAAATGTTCTACATTTCTGATATGAATAATGTCTTTTAGAGGATTTTTTGTTGTGTTGTCTCTATCTTGCAAATGCGAAACATAAAAAATGTATGTTCAGTTATTTTTGTTATTCTTATTTGTTTTAATATAAGAGCAAATTTTCCAATTTTTATATATATTTCTAAACCTATTAGGTTGTGAATAATTATTAAACTAAAGGTTCTTCCAAAGGTTTCTCTAGTTCGTTGGAATTTTCTTTTTAATATTTTAATCTCTAAGTATATAAATGAATCACTTCATAAACACTTCTGAATTTCAACCTTAAATAATCTTGCTATGATCACCTCCAAAAAAACACACAAGACATTCAATACTCACTCAAATCCTTTAATCACTCAACTGTCATTCAAACAAATCCCAGGTAATCCACCCAGGCGCCTGAAAAGGAACTGGTGTAGGGACCTACTCTCTCCTTAAAGTGATTTCTACAGGGTGCCACCATTAGTTGACTTCCCCTCCCCGCTAATCAACCCACATCCCATTTACTTATTGTACTACATGTAAATACAGATTGTAAATAAAAATTTGTTCAATAAAAAAAAAGTATATAAAATGATTATGTAAAATATAAAAATGTAATAATGTTCATACCTTACTTCTGAATTAAAGCATTAAACAAACCACAGAAAATATTTTTACCTTTAAGTTTTATAATAAGTAAATTTACTCTAATATTGAAATTAACAAATCAGCAGTGTAAGACAGAGACAACACTTGCCTCTTAAATTTAATAAATATTGTTACATGATAGCTAATAAGTAATAACAATCTCAATAATATTTCAACAGCATGTGTTGTCTCTGTCTGTCTGCTGATTTTGTTTATTTATTTATTTATGAAATATTATTGAATCGTTTATAAGCTATTATGTAACAATATTTTAATTTATTAAATTTAAGAGCAAACAAAAATAAGTTAACAAATTCTTATAACTTAGATAAAATGTACTGTATCCAAGGTTAAAGGCATATTTATCACTCGTTTTTGTATTAAAATACTTGTATATATATATCCGATTCATAATAATCTACATCCAGAGTTTAAACTATTTTAAGTTATGCTAGTAAATTTTAAACAGTATCATAATATTACTTTTTAAGTAAATTATATTTGTCTCCTTTAAGTTTATCTTTGAATTCAAAAATAATAATGTTTTTATACAAAAGTATAGAGAATAATTAGAATTCTACAATGATTAATAATGTGTATTTAAACGTTTACTGCACATACATAAACATATACAACCATAAAATTATTTAGTTATGTAATAAATGAACTACCCAGTTCTCACATAATAACATTGTTTTTTGTGTAATAATTATTAATTGAAATTCATAAAAAATATTGTTTTCACTATCTCAATAAAATCCGTTTAATTATGTTTAATTGTATTTATTTTTATTATTCACAGACTGATCCAAAACAAATACAAGAGCTAAAAAATTCAGAATGCTTTTCACCAATTTATGAAATTGTTATTAATTGGACTGACTCTAATCAATTATATTCTCCACGCCTATCAGGTAAGTTTTTTTTCAATGGCTTAGCTTAGAAGAAAACATACAATTTTTTATCTATAATTAATAATCAATATGGAAGCAAGATTAATCAAGCTTGTAGTTATTTTTAAGATGTTATTTATAAATGTATACCTACTGTTGTCTTATATAAATCCACTTTTGATAGATAATTAGCAAAACGTGACTATTTATATTACCTAACTTTTTTTCAAAATTCTATACTTCATATCCCAAAAAATGTTTAGGATTTTATTAAAACTAATACATTTAAAGAAATTCCCAGTCGTAAGTTTGTACCAAAATGATTTTTCAAATAATTATGTTACACAATTTTCTTTAATCATTTTTCTAGTGTTTATGCTGATTCTATGTTTGTGAACTCCCCTCTTGTTGCTTTTAATTTCCCCAATTTAGTTCCACTTTCCTTTCAAAGTCTTAAATTTCTTTTATCTTCATGCTCGACCTTTTTATCTAATACCTTTGAATCCTTATTAATTTGTCAACTCACTATAATAGGTTTAAACCTTTTCACTCAGTAAGATTAGAAGATGCAGGAACAACAACAATTTCACACACAACAATCATAAACGAAAGAAGTCACAAACTTAGGGACTGGTTTTGCCATCTATGAATCAGTTATTTGTGGTTAAAAGTTAAAAGATGTTAGGTCCAACATTTCTACAATAACCTTGAAGGATAACAATCTTCATAATATTCAAATAGAGTTAAACAATGTTCATGCACCAACTGAAGACAAGGATGATGAAAAAAGAAAGAGTTTTACCAATAGACTAGAAGAGATTTGTGTGTTTTGATACTATGGGAGAAAATATAATAACTGTACTAGGCGATCTAAATGCAAAAAAGTGATATATACTAATAAATGGCAGGGATACACAGTCTCCATGAATACTCTAAGGATTTTAGCACAAGACTATCAAATTTTGCATTCAGAAAAGGATCAATTGTTAAAAGTATACGTTCCAAATCAAAGATATGTACAAATATTTGTATGTGTCCCAATAATCAGTCCATGTATACAAACACCATGTGAAGACAGGTTTAAAATCAGAATAACTAATAAATGAACTAAACCTATCAATTATTAGTAAGTTTTTGAATAAGAGAAAATTTCAAAAATTATTGTAGCCGTAAATTAACTGGTTTATGTGGATAATATAATATTGAGTATCTACTTTACTGGGAGAGTCTGTTAAATATCTTGAAAGAATTTCATTGTCCACTAAAACTGGTGAATATTATATCAATCAATGTCATGGAGACTTATAAGAGCTCAAGTAGAAAACACAAGAACTGACCCGGATATAATGAGCTCAAGGTGGTCTGAAAATGTGATCAGAGAAATGAAAATTGGAACTCATGAAGGCATAAAAACACAAATTGAAGATATTATTTAGGAGACTTTATAGAATTGAAACTAAAGTAGGATCATATATTTATTAAGAAAAACCGAGTATGTGATGAGAAGGGTGCATAACAAAATCTTTAACTTTAAAACATTGATCGTCGATATCTTGAACTAATATTTGCGAGAACGGCAAAATATTGAATAGCAAAATCT